CGCTAGCTCATTAGTATGTAATATCCATTCAAAACTTATAGTACTAATAAGGGAAGAAAAATAGATAGAGTATGTATAAAGACCAAAATGAACATGGTTGATAGGAATTTTATAACTTAGAATCATCATTCACATACTAAAAGTTAATTTCTATTTTTATGTATTAAGATATAAAATTTGGGTATATAAAAACATCTTTAGAATTGGTCTAAAAGCAACCAACCAAATTGTCTCAATTTATTACTAATGAGAAGACGGTGAAAATGGTTTAATCTCCCTTTTTCCAGAAGATGCATATATGGATTATGGACAGTTGAATAGCATGAGCGGCCCGTGTTACCATTCATATTTTTAAATTTATTTTTTTCTTTATTCAATTTTTTTTATTTGAAAAGTAAAGACATTTCAAATTTCGTATATGAACGATGAAAGTTTTTATCATTATTTTTGCGAGTTTAGCTATGCATATGAATATATGATTAATCAATCAATCGATGTACCTAGTATTCTAAATGATAAAACTAATTAAATTTGAAGATTTTTTAATTAAAAAAAAAAAAATTCATAGCATCAGAATTTCTAACCAGGCAGAGTTTGTCACGTGTCTTTTTATGGGATAAGGGAATTAAGATGGACATATTTGTTGGAACCAATGTTAGTCAACGAGAAGATGGGGAACATATATAAAGCTTCCATGAACTATTATCATTATTGCTCTTAATTTTCCATTTATTTATTTGTTCTTACGCTCATACTTTGTTTGAAAGTTGAAACATTTACTTACTAATAATGCAATATTGACATTTTTCAGTTTAACCAAAGCGACTTTTTGATTGTCTTCCGTTGGCGTTAGATGTGGATAATGCCAAGTGCCCCAACTATATATTATTAGTGCCGTTTTCTTCAATTTTTATACACATTTTTTTCCTTAATTAAAAAAGATTGCACATCCACATTGACTATTTGTGAGAGCGATACCCAAAACTTGCAAACAAACTCTAATTAAGGTCAAACAAAATATTTGTGTGGCTTATAGAAAACTTTTTTTGGTTTGTGCCAAGATGCGACTTTTTTTTTAGGGTTTAGTGCTTTTTTTATTGTTTTTAGTAATTAAGGTCAAACAAAATATTTGTGTGGCTTACAGAAAACTTGTTTTTTTTTTTTTTTTTTAGCATGCATGGAACAAAGTATTATATATGTTTCAACAGATATATAATATTTGTGAATTGATATTATACTCATAGTTCTATATATTTAGTAAATTTGCTTGAAGCTAGAGAGAATACTTTTATGGATGGTTGGTTAGTGATTGTATTGTGTTAACAACGAATCAAATGGTTACAAAGTGTAAAATCTGATGATGCAAAATTCAAAGACCATATTAACTAAATAAAATTGGGAAAAGTGGAAGATTGATGAGCATGTTTATCCTAGTTGTAAAGTGACTTTTTTTTAGTATAGATACAAATATTGGCCTTCGGAAAATGACTTGTTCCTAACTTCTCTTTACAAATTGATTTTCTTCCTTTTTTGCTTTTTGTAGTGTGCCATTTTTGTTTACGCACATTGCTTGACTCTTATGTCCTCTTCATCGGTGCCCTTGTGCTCATCCGAAAGAGTGAGTATATATGATTAAGATAATTAGACGTGTCGTGGAATGAGAAAGTGTTCTCCTTTTCAACATAAAGCAATTGCATGTTACAAGGAAATAAATCATCTCACATTTGGAACATTACATGATCAATTGACAACTCTAATTTTCCGCGAAGCTCGAAGCGTTACAAACTTACAATATATAAAAGCTCTAGTCAATCACTTGTATACATATATAGATATAACGATGGATGTACAAAGGCAAAATTAACTATTCATATATCAAGAATACAAATATGAAGAATTATTGTGTTACTACTCGGATTCAATAGTACATAAAAAAAATGGTATTGACCAAAAAAATAAAGATCTAAAACAATGAAGCAGGAAGTATACATATCATCTAATAAAAACCTATAAACTATGGTCATAAAATGCGTTTTTGTGCTATTCAACGGACGCACTAAATAATTCTTGAGATATAAACAAAAACTAAAAGACAAACACTTCTTTCTTCTTACAAATATATAGAGTAAGTATGAATATTTAAAGTTACAAATATCTAATTTTATATGAAAGATTGATGATGATGTCAATGTAATTATTTGGTTAGATAACCTTGTACGTACATCAAAAACATATGACGCGATCTGGTTCAAGTCTCTTAATTGTTTGTGTGCGTTGCGTGTGGAAAACACAAATGATCGAACAGATATGTTAAAAAAACTTTCAGGTTGATGATACGAGTAAAACGAACATAAACTGTGGTAATTAAAACTGATGTATACATCATATTATAAACATATAATGCACTCGCATATCATATATATCAAATACATCTCTATCATAAAATAGAACAAAGTTTGATTCAAAAGCATATATATTTCTCAAAATATTCCAAAATGGAAGGAACAGTAGTTGAACACAATATTAATGCAGCAGCCATGCTTTTGCTTTAGTACATACTATATTACATTACATATGTGAGTATGTGTACATCTATATAGATCTAATATAAGTGCATAGAATAATAAAAGAGTGCGGCAGATTGTGAAGGAAGTGGAGAAACTGTTATGACAACAGATTCCATTAGCACAATGATTTTAATTTCAAAGTGGGAAACTCTTTTCATTAGTTTTCACATTTTAATATTACCACTTTTTTCTTGTTTTTTCTTATAATTGTGCCATTTTGAATGGACACAAAACTCTGTTTAATTTGTTTATTTTATTTACTTTGGTGGTAAAGCTCTTTACTTTGCCCACCACTTGGACTTTGTGGACCGTCAATATTGCTTAATTCACTACCGAAAAACACATATTCTAGTTTTTTCCATTATACTATATCTCTTAACTTTTTTTTTGTCACGATTCAAATAATTTTTTACTATATGGTTCTGCACTTTCTCTAGTACTATTTTTAGACATAAGATCTTGCTTTTATTTACTAGATCTATTTTTCATGAATAACTAACCTAATATGGTCTTGATCGGAAGAATAATGCTTTTTTTTTTACTTCCTGAACTCGACTGTTTGCCCATTGGAGTTAGTTTCATATTAGTTTATCTTGATCTTTGTGGATGATATCTCTGCATTGCTGAAGGTTTAAACTGAAAATAAGCCTGAATGTGTGTACCAAATCCCCGTTGCTTTAAACAGGCTCGGTTCTAATTGAGTTTACTTTTATACAATTGGACTTGTTTTTTAATTTCGTAATAGTTTTCTTTACAAAATATGAGCCTTATTTTGTTTTTTTCCCCTGTAAATTTATTAATTGTATAACTTCTTAAATTTTGGATGGGCCTTCTTTTTTGGTATAATAGCTTGGGTCTTAGGAAATGACAAAATTTGGTCAGTCTTGGGTTTAAAAGTCTTGGCTACCTAAAAATATAATTTTGACAGTGATCATGATATCAAAAGGCCGACTGCTAGCTTCTTCTTCTTCTAATTGAAGGTAACAAGCCGAACATGCTGAAAAGCAAAACCAATACCATCAAGAAAAGTTTGGTTACCACAAGAAGACATTATATCTCAAAGCTCTTGTCACATAGAAAGCAAGAGAGATCTTACGGCGTACGTGGTCCATTTCTTTACCTTTTGAAACGTAAACATATGGTCCAGTGCTCATATATTTTCTAATGTATCAATATATTTTTATAAATTTGATCATATATGATTTTTTTTTTTGTCAACATCAGTTAGTGTATGATACATGAGTATCTATACGTACGTACGAATTAAGAAATATCTTGTAGAAAATTATATCAGAAACTTACCAAAGTGATGCATACTCATCAAGAGGAGGAGACATGATGAATTACAAATGATCTTTACTATTTTAACGGAGACACAAGTAACAGAAACAAAATTGACACCAACCAAATAGAAAGATTCATTTTTATCTTCGAAGATGCTCTATTGCTCTCTGATCATCACAACTTCTTCGTCTCTCCATCCTTGTGGTTTCCCTTCTTTGGCTTGACGAAACAGAAGCACGAACAACAAGGCAGCTGAAACAAAAACTTCATCTTGATTTGGAGTTGAATCAACAGTACATCGATGTATCTGCCTTTTATACTTTTATATTAGAGCTTTTGTAACTCCAATTAATTTCGTTTTTTGTTTGGGTTTCCTATATTCGTTTCTGCTTTTTTTTTTTTTTAATGCTTTTCCAACCAAAGTTGATTCTCCCTTGATATACCACTTGCTGGGGCAGAATCATAATGTATAAAATGTAAAATGCATGATTGATCACATCTGGATGCCTTTTTCAAAGGGCTAGATTACTATATTTATGTCTTTGGTTTATCTAATAAAATTGTCCTAGTAACCTTGTTCTTATTAGGTTAGAGTTCAGCTAGTTTTTTTGGTGAGAATAAGAATAAAAACAAAATAATCAAGATTAAAGAGCCTTAGCTATTTTCAATAATTAAAGTGATATAAAACACTAAACGCTGGCTGTACCATAAATACTTTAATTTAAAAAGAATTTTCATATATATATATATATATAATGTAAAATCTAAAATAAATCGCTAGAAAAAGAAAAGAAAAAGAATATAACAAATATCGGGTTTGAAGACCTATTTGAAGGTGATTCCTTCCAAGAATTAAAATGTGTAAAAAAGACACACCAGCATGCAGGAAATAACTCCTCAATTAGCCTCAAAGGTTTACAAAGCCAATTGGAACATTTTAATCAATTCAATAACTCAGTACAAAGTTGGATATCCGATCAAAGAGGATTGCCACATATAAAATTAACAGATTTAAACTAAGAAACGAACGACGTGAATCAACAACAAAAAAAAAAAAAAAAAAAAAAGATTATCCTAAAAAAAGATCCAACACTTAAAAAACAAGATTAACAACCACAAAAATAAAACACAAAAACATACACTCTGTATTTGCCCTTTTTTATCCCCAACAAAAGCATCCCTCATTTGTTCTTCTGCAATATCACTTCTATTTCTCCCTCCTTTCACAAGGAAGGGCGTAGAAGAATCAACCATAATACTACTTCCTACAACCCCCCAAAAAAAACTCATCATTATCAAACAAAAGAGAGAAAACCAAATGGGTATCAAGTTCTTGTTGATCCTTGGTCTCTTGACCCTGGCCGTAGTCGCCGAATCAGCCAATGCCACGTGGGGTCTGACCAAATCTTGTGTCAATGGCCAAGGTTGCATCGGAGAGGATGATGAGCTTGAGTCCTTGATGGATTCCGAGGCCAACCGCCGCCAGCTAGCCGCGAGGCGCAGCTACATCAGTTACGGTGCGCTCAAGAAGAACAATGTGCCGTGCGGCCGACGTGGCCGGTCTTACTACGATTGCAAGAAGAGGAAAAGAGCTAACCCTTACAGGCGTGGCTGCAGCGTCATCACTCATTGCTACAGGCAAACTTCTTAATCTCAAGAAGCATTTATACAAACAATATGATTGAAGAAGCGAGAGGGCAAATAATGCAAGAAGAAACAAATGAATACAAACAATATATACCAATTCTTCTACTTATGGTTTTTCTTGACATTGTCCCTTTTTGTTCCTCTTAATTTAATCATCTTTTTCATTTTATTTATAATCATATACGCTCATTTCATCTGTTGTTCTTCTTTTATATTTATGGAGAAATTGTTGTATTTTGTTTGTGTCTATAACTAAGTGTTGTTCCCATACCTTGTGATATATATGTGCTAATTAAATATTTAACTTTGTATGTCAAAAAAAGTTGTTCAGAACTTGACAGAAAAAAAGAACTGTTGACGACGTTGGCATTATATCTTCAAAAATACGTCGGAATTGTATTTAAACGACCGTTGTCACAATCAGTACGACGACTTGTTTATTACTTTGATTATGATCATCAAGTGAGTGCAACTTGCAAGTACTATCCTTTTCTGATAGCTTCAATAATAAAATCTGAGAAATATAAACCAAAAATTTGTAAAAACAATTAGGCATCAGTATGATTACCATATGGAACAATTCGGTTCGTGTGTACATACGCTTTAGTTGGGCCAAGACCCTTCAAAGATGGAGTGTTATCACATGATATCAACATTGATGAATAGTTCTTCCAAAGAATCTACAGCATAAACAAATGAAAGAGAAGATATATATATATATAGACATATAGGGTATGCGTTTTCATCAAGTTTGATAACTTGTTAAGCTGTCTTTAACATCTAGAATGATGACAGTTAAAACATATCATAGCTTATTTGATGAGATTCTACATTGATTTATAAGAAAAACAATCTACAGAGTACTTACCTGCAGAAGATATAATTTATGGATCAATACTATGAGATTGTATAGTGTTTTACACATTAACATATAAATGTAATGTACATTCATAAGTAGAAGAATCTCGGCTAAGGTAAATAGAAGTAATGGCTAGACCACAATAACTTTGCTCACCCGGCCCGTTAGAAAAGGAACTTGACATCTTTTGCAATTCTTTGGTTTCGACAAGTTTTGGCAACTCCTTTCCCCAATCTCAATTTATTCACAATTCCTTGAAGTAACTAATATGCAAAAATGAAATTTTTGGACCAAGTTGTTCTTCACAATGCTAGAGTGCAATAAATCTATCATAAAAGATTAACCTGAAAAAGTCGGTCTATATATAAAACCATATTAAAATGAGGAGAATCGAAAGAAACAACAGATGCTAATGAAACAAAATATCCATTAGCAAATGTATTCGCAAAAAGTCACACCAAAAGCTACTAGCATTACAAAAACTTGCTCCAAAACACGAGCTATATATATAAAAGCCTAAAAACAAAAGGCAAAACTAGAGTTCATGAGGTGAAGGAGACGAGAGAGTCGAAGTCACCGGAAAGAGAGGGAGAAGTCGGGGCACCGAGTCCCTTGGTGAAGGGTGAAAGTAAAACCCTTTCTCTTTGATCGCTCTCTCTTCCTCGTCTGAGCCGGGGCTCTGACTCGAAGACCGGGCTCCACGAAACGGGTCAGGCGTGAGAGGGGTGACAGGGCTGAGAGCCAGAGACGGGAAATCCAAGATGCTGGGAGAGAGAATCTCTGGTAACACGGAATGGGTCGGGTTGATCTTGAGAACATGCTTCATGCGACGTTCGTAGAGGCGGAAGGAAGAAGAGTGCTTCTTGTTGGGTACGGCTTTGATCGGAGGGATCGAGTGATATGAAAAAGAAGATCTCGGCTCGGCTTGGTGGTGATCAGTCCGGTTGCGATAACTGGGTTTCTTGGAGAATCCGGTGAGCATTTGGACGACTTGCTTGAAGGAGGAAACGTCCGTGTAGATATAAGTGGTCTGGTACTGGTTGGGAGATCTAACGGGTCTGGTCGGAGTGGTGATGCTGTTTGGTGAGATCGGTGCGTCATCGCTGTTGTGTCTTGGTGAATTCTCCATTGAAGCAAAGCACTTGAGATTTGAGAGAATGAGAGGTTTCTCTTCTGTTTGTTTTGTTTGTACTTTGTAGTCCTTTTGATTCTGTACTTGTTGTCTTGTTCAATGAATAATAAATATATTTTGACTTTGAATATGTTTTTCGTAAGGTAGCAAATTAATAGTTTTTGGCACAAAATAGTCAATTTTATTTTCTTATATCTTAGTCATATTTTTTTTTAATTTTTCCAAATCACTTTCTTTTTTACAGAGGTTTTAATAAGTTGACACGCGCTGTGTATGCTGAGAGTGATGTGCACGCAACGCCTTCAAATATAGAAACTGGCATCGTTGGTTGGTCTGTGTGTGAGGACCTGGTGACTTTTTCTATTCTCGTCAGGATTTTCATAGTTGTCATTTACCTTTTCGAGAAAGTTTACAAATCAGTATCTAACCATAGATATAGATATCAAGACTATAAAGTCAACACATTCATTTCACAAAATCTTGTTTCTTTTACCACAAAATCTTTTTTTTTTTTACCACAAAATCTTGTTCTTTTTACTACAAAATCTGGGTGTGTGGATAAAGATTTGCAGATAGATTCAAAAAGCTTCCCATAAATCGACTAACAGATGTACGATAGAGATGTGTTATTTACTTGTTTGTTACACGTATCATACAAAACTGAGTCATATGTTTGGGCCTTACTTATTGAACTGGCTTTATGGGCTTTAGGAGTGTGTGAAAGTCTTTGTCACGTTTTGCTTTGGGATGCTTTTAAGGTTTGCTTATTGAACTGGCTTTATAGGCTCGAGGCTAGAGGCTAACCATAGCCTTTGTATAAGGGCATCTTGATACTCGACTATCTCTACATGGACATATTGAAAAAAAATGTTGTGGACTATATGAAGGATGAAGCTTGTTTAATTTACCGGTTAAATCTATCACTTCTTACATCTATGTGACTATGTTTCCACTTGATTAACTTAACCAAAGAATTGAAAGTTTTGATGAACCAAATTTTTTTTGAATCACTACTGATTCTCGAGAGTATAGTAAATATCCAATATACAATATTCGTAAAGATGTTGACAACTTAATACCAATGTGCACATATTTTTTTGATAAGCTAATACGGTAATACCTATAAAACATAAATCCATAAAAATCAGCTTTTTATTAAAATGCAGAAACATTAGAGTAGATACAAGCGAAACCCATTACCAAATATTGTCTGGTAAAACCTAGAAAATTTGGAAACACAAGCTAGTTTTATGATAATCAAACTAGGTCTAGACCCAAACTACTATATAGAACATGAATTCACATTTCACTGTGTATCCACGGTAACAAAAAAAAAAAAAGAAAGAAGAAGACAATCATTAGCATAGAAACCTCAAGGAGATGATGACTACTTAAAAATTACCAATACATAGTCCAAACATTACATTTTGACTGCTAGACAATCCATAATGCAAGATTTTCCATCAAGCACAAGTCCATACCATTTTACATTTCCCCAAATTTCTCCTCTTTGGTGCCTTTTAACCACAACCTCTGCATACCAAATCTCTGTAGTCTCAGTCACGGCTACTGCTTTCTGCAAAAACACAGCTAATTTTCTACCGTAACTCGCGGTGCGTGACCATGAACCATCCTCAAATGGTCCTAATTCCACACCCTTCACTACTCCCCAAGCCCTTTTCTTTAGATCGTAAGCTCTTAAACAATTCTTACGAACATCATAGTAGTACAATACATCGTCTATAACGCATGAATTGGACCACTCCTTGGAGTGCAAGATCGGGTCCAGTTTACACTTACCTTTCTTTGGTTCATACACATAGCTGTTGGAATAACTCCTCATGTAAATCTTACCCGCCATCTCCACGCTACTAAGCCACTTCTGTCCCACTTTCCAATTTGGCCTCCTTTTAACCTTCCACGTTTTTGCTTCAGTATCAAACACCATGATCCTTTTAGAAAATGACTTCAGCTTCGGTGAGCGAGTATCAGACCCTCCAATCACATATATCTTCCGGTCCACGAGTTTGGAGACCGAACCAGCTACCGCCTTTGGCATCCTAGGAAGAGGCTGAACCGTGTGAGACACACAATCGATGCGTGACACACGCGGAGTGATCAACCCCCAACGGTGAAATCCACCCATGACATATATACTCGAACCTGAGACCACGTAGCTTGCATGTAAAGGCATCGGAGGGAGTGAAGGGACAGGGACTAACCGAAGGTTGTTGTTGGGTTTCCGACCAAGAGTATACCAGCGGATAGTAGAGGTTTGGTTCTTAGAGATAGCAACATAGAGACAGTGTTCCTTGTAGCCTAAAAGAGATCGTAACTTGTATACCTTAGGCGACGTAACGAGAGACCGGAACTTCTCTGAAACAAGTGAGAGAATGGGATAGTCAGTTCTTGGTTCACGTACTACGCAATCCAAGAAGACTTCTTCGGGAAGTGATGGTGGCTCCGGTGGATGATCATCTGCCGCAACTTCAGATGACATCTTTTTATCATATATTAAAAAACTTTTGATGACATCTCTCATACTGTTTAGGACATCTCTCATATTGTTTAGGACATTTCTCATATTTTCTCAAGACTCAAATAACCAACTTATCAGTCACATACAGTACTTGGGAGCCCAGACTTTTATAATCGTCTTGCAAAGATAAATATTGTTAAAGTTTTTATAGGAAATCAAAACACACCCAAGGCTTGGCAAAGCGATATGGTACCATTGGATATATAAATAGAAAAAAGGAATCCAATGAGATCTTTTTTTTATGGAAGGTTGAATTGGGGTGATTTTGGAAGATTGTATTTCTAAACTGTAATTAAATTATCATTAGCAGATATCTATTTTATCATGCTTTTGCCCAAAGATATATGTGTTGTCAAAAAATATGTATGTAGTAAGATGTATGAAAAAATCAATAAAAATGTTATGTTTCTAATCACTTTTATTCATCTTTTAATTGAAGATGTATAAAATGAGATCATTTGTTGTGTGTATTTTCTTCCCTATGAGTTCTAAAGTTGAAATTGTTAAAAATAAAATATGAGGTATATTTTTACTAAGTTCAACTAATCTCACACAAAATTTTATTTATTTAACTCACTATACAATAATGACAAAATGACAAAGACGACGGCTCGTAAGTCCAAATCATAGATAACTTTTTTATTTATGGCAAATTTCTTTACTTAGATGTTTCGTACTGAAGAAACCAATGTACAAATTAAAGAAAGAAAATTATTGCACTAGTTATTGCTCAACACTTGTCAATATTTTCGTAAACAAAAAAGAATATAAATTCAAGGAGAAGAATTTTTAAAGTATTTGAAGTAGAACTAATTTTTGCCATTAACATCCACAAAAGACATTCAAACTCTTGACGACAAAAAAAAAAAAGAAAAAAGAAAAAAAGACATTCAAACTCTTCTTCGAAAGGATTTAAAAGACATTCAAGAGTTGATATGTAAAGCGTCACCGTTATTTTATTAAAGAAGCAAATTAGAAAGACACTAAGCATAACAAAAGCCCATACAAACAAACCCAAGCTGTGTGATACAATCAAACCCAATCACTAAATTGTGTTTAATCCACATAATAAAAGTTTTTAACTATCTGTATTATTAAAAGTTTAAAACCATCTCATTTGGGGCAGGCAGGGTCGAATGCGAATGGACCAACGTTGAACATTGCATATTTGAGCTTGTTGATGATGACCGAGGACGGTCCTGGTTTCATGACCGGCTTTAGGTAGGCTCCCTTGTCTCCACCGTGGAGCTTCGACACTTTGCTGCATTTGGCATCCGGCGACTTCACGAGGAAAGCTCGGCAACCTTTGATAGCATAGCTGGACACCGTCTTAGGAGCCAAGAACATGAAGTATCCGTTCTTGTCCGTCTTTGTCTCCGATATTGAGCTCTTCTTGTTCTTGCACACAAGTCTCACCACAGCATCTATATCCCCAAATAACACAAACAAAATAAAATGTGAAAACAATTATTAGTATTTGTATTACATATTATGTTAGAAAAAAAAAATGCAACCAATAAACTAGTATTTTGCATATATATGCCTAACGTATAGGATAAAGTATGAAAGTGAAGTGTACGTGGCCTTTTCACATACCAATGTGAGAATACTTATTAGGATTAATCGAAGGATTCTTTACTATAAAATATGGACTATTCATATACCGTAAGTTTAACATAATTAATTAATCAATACCTTTAACGGGTTTGGCGCCTATGAGGGTGTTGACACCAGCGTACTTGCAGGGTTTGCAGTAGACTAAACCCCGCACGGCCACTAGAGTCCTGTTGAGCTTAGGAGGGGAAACTGGTGGGAGAACCGGAGGCTTGATCGGTGGGAGGGTTGGTAGCTTAATAGGAGCTTTGGCTGGTGGAAGAGTTGGTAGCTTAATGGGAGCTTTGGCTGGTGGGTAAGCTGGTAGTTTAATGGGAGCTTTGGCCGGTGGGAGAGTTGGTAGTTTGATGGGAGCTTTGGTCGGTGGGAGTGTTGGTAATTTGATGGGAGCTTTGATCGGTGGGGGGGATGGTAGGGTAAGGTCGGGAAGGCCATGGAAGGGAGCAGAACCAGGTTGATTCACTCCTAAGGTGAAAACAGAGGAAGTGAAGCACAAAAGTGCTAAGAGAGTTAGAGAAACACTCTTACAAATGATTCCCATCTTTATTCTTTTTGTTTTTGTAAGTGTGTGTGTGTGTGTGCTTTTGGTTGATGTGACTTGGGTGTATTTATAGGAGATTTCAGGCTACAATTGTATAATATTCCCATCTTTACAAAATTGTATTTGTACGTATTAAAAAGTTCATCAATATAATACATATTGTTAAAATGTTACGTTAATGTCCTAACTGGAATTGTTTATTTTCATTTTTTACATATATTTTAGGTTAAGTGTGTGACCAAAATATCGATCAGTCCGTAAACGTATGTATATGTTAGTATAATTCATATAGATAATACAGCACATGTGCTCATCTGGCGAGGTAGTCGATCGAGAAGTTTCCGATGTCTCGTAAAAGATTTAGATTAGATCTGCTAACAGGTTTTAGTACCGTAAACAATAACTAGAGATTAATTTGTGACTAAACCTGGTTTTTCTTTTCCGTAGTGTTCCGGGTAAAAATATCATATGGTTATGATGTTTACGTAAACTCACGTTCGGGTGAATCACTTAACCGATTCATATATATATTGTTTTTTTGTAAAAGAACCGATTCATATATATGCAAATGAACTAGTTATACTTATAGCTGAGATTGGAGCTGAGGGTTGCCGTACTTGTTGATCATAACCCATGCCACACAAAACATATTTACATATACGTCAACCTACCTGAAGTTTTTTTCCTAAATCATACGAGAAAATCATAGATGAAACTTCATAGCTAGTCATGATATATGTGTAATGATCTCTTGTCTGTGAACTTTATAAGAGTTAGAAATAAAGAATGGAGTATATATAGTTTTACAAATTTTATTGAACTGATATATGTAAAATCTTATACGTGAAATTACACATGAAGTTTAAAAATTTTGATTGACTAAAATTAGTGTTACTTTCAATGCAAATGATCTGAGATAGAGTATTATTATGAGTTTATCATTCACGTTCCATGTTTTGTGGTCCATAACATGTGCATCGCAACAAGATGCGCCTGGCGCGGCTTCAACACATTACACATTTAAAGTTCAATTTAAATTAATATCCAAACTTAATCTATTTATTTTCGGTTTTCAGTATACAATGCAATCCATTAGAGCTTTAATGAAATTATAGCAAATGAAAATGATGCGTTATATAATTAATACGTAGATCAGGACAAGATTTTAATGAAACTGGCAAAACGATATGCTCGTGTGATTATGATCATAAGGACGATTAATACTTTCAAAACATCATTAGTCTACATCGAAGCTTAAGGCCAAAATGTTAAGCTTCGAGAGACGAGAGATATACGCTTAACTACACGAATAATAAGGAGTGAAAATTAAGTCTTTATACTTCAATCTCAAGATAACAACAATAAGATCGACATGTACGTAATCCGCATAGACTAATAATATTCTGAAAGGACTCACACACGTGTATGCTCAGTGCTCACCTAACACTAACGCAAAGGTTCTAAACTGTTAGACGTTAATTAGTGTGGCTTAATTAGGTAGGTTTCGTATATTGCCTGATCACGACTAGTCGTTGTCTCTTATAATAGGCGGCTATGACAAAAATTACTATGGCATATTAAGAACGAAATATTCCATTCGTAAGACAAGAATATATACATAACTTTTACTTTGTTTTCTTACGATATGTAATCATACTTTCTTAAAAAAAAAAAAAACCCTATTTTTGTCAAATACTGATCACTTCTATAATAAAACCAGCTAGGTATTTTATTTAATTAAGAATGTTTTGGTCTGAATCTGATATGGTAGTCCATTGGTTTCAAGCTCCCTCAAGCCTACAGGCTACAACTAATCCCATATTATACGGGTTTGGGTTTGGGTTGAAGATAGTTTTGTCATACGCATTATTAGCCATGAGACCCATGACGTATCAAGTCTCATTTTCCTAACCTGTGTTTAGAAAAAAAAAAAAATTCGATTTTAATAGAAGAAACAGTGTGATATTTATACATTTATAATTAGCTGCTTCTTGCGCATAAATTAGATGCATGAGACAAATATTTTCGTATTTAATAAAAGCAATTATGTTAGCCATCATAATTTCTTTTTTATAATTTTGGTTAGCCAATTATAATTAGTTTAAATAAAATTACAAAACAAACAAAAAAAATACTGAGAGTACGTGATCAGCTACGATGCCATCCACAGTACGTAATGTGGTTATATAAACTTTGTCAGGCAAAGCTAACAAACGAAACAGAATTTTCAAATTTCAAATTCAATTCACTCTTTTGATTTCGTTTCTTCGTCACTCTCACTCCTCTCAGTTTTTTTTTTTCATCTGCAATGGCGTCCACCAGAAGAGGAACTACTAATAAGAGAGCTAGGCCAGAGCCGCCGCAATCGCTCAAGAAGAAGCTAACACCCAAAGCAAAACTCCAGGACGATTCGGATCCCGATGATTCTAGGTCCGTTTTTGTGTGTATTTGCTTCGTTTTCTTCTTCGGTTCTTCCCGTTTTTGGCTAAATTTTGACTCGCGATTTTGTTTTCCGTTGAGTCTAAGTCTGTTTTTGTATGTTTTGCTTCGTCTTCTTCTTCGTTCCTTCTCGTTTTTTGCTACATTGTGACTCGCGATTGAGTTTTCCGATGAGTCTAAGCCTGTTTTTGTGTTTTTGATTCGTTGTCTTTTTCGTTTCTTCTCGTTTTTGCTAAATTGTGACTCGCGATTGTGTTTCCGATGAATCTAAGTCTGTTTTTCTGTTTTTGGTTCGTCTTCTTCTTCGTTTCTTCTTGTTTTGGCGAAATTGTGACTCGCGATTTGTTTTCCGTGTTGATCATGCAGCGATCTCAAAGGACTCATGTCGGCGTTGCAGCAAATCAGAGAGAAGGCGCACGAGGATGGCCGTAAGAAGAAGGAAGAAAGCATCTCCAGGTGATATATCTCTTCGTTACATGTTTCTCTCCATTTAGGTTATGGAATGTTTGGTAGAAACAGAGTTTGATATCACCGTAGCCTTAGATTTCATTTGCTATTGCAATTATCGATGGTGATCGATCGTATGGATCATAGTTACGATCGTTTCATCCTACGTTTTGTGATGGAGCGTTTCTTCAATTTTTTGTAGTTAGAACTTGAATTAGTCTGGATTTTTTATCAACTAGATGTAGCCTGATAAAGCTTAGGTGTTCGATCATATGTTCTAGCATTTTGGTATTGGTTGATCTGTTGTGCAATTGATTGTAGTATGCCCTTGTATCGCTTGAATTACATACCAAATCTTTGATTGATAGATATCTAGCTTGCTGTACAATATTTAGTCTAGATCTTCTATCACAGACGACAGGACATATTTATCCAGATAAAGCTAAGGTGTTCGATTCTATCAATTGATATTGGGTGTTAATCTGTTGTGCAAGTAGTTGTGGTATGCTGTTGTATTCGTTAAACTAGAAAGTAAATATTTGTTTGATAGAAATGAAGATCGTTTGATTTCACTGATACATAACAATTAGATGTTCAGTCTTTTGTTGCTAAACTCTGAAGCACTTGGTTGATTTCTTTCAATAATTTGGTATGAGTAGTAAGATTTTGTCAATTTTTGTTCCAAACTCATCTAAGGATTTTTTTACATTCTTGATTTTGATTGGCAGAATCAGTTTTCTCCAGAAGAAGATGAAAAAAACTTAGTTCTAGTTCTCTTTAAGATGTCGTTAATTTGGTAGCTGAATCTTGCTTTAATCCTTGTGTATCTTTCTGGCAGTGTGTCCACTGAGGTTAAGTCAAAGATTGACGAGCTGAAGTCAAAACTTGAGAAAGAAAGGTAGGCTATCTCAACTTCTCCTTCATGTTTTCGTGAATGTTGGTTTAGCAGTGAGATAAATGCTGATATATTCTCTCCTTCATTTACAAATTGCAGACAAAACTTTGCCAAAGCACTGTCAAAGAGTTCAAAGGAGGTCTGAACAAAGATCCCAAGTTGATATTTAACATAACTGAGTCTTTAGATAGGTACAATGAGCTGAACTCTGATCATATTTGCAGTGTGAGAATATCTTGAAGGATGAAGCTGCCAAGTTTGAGGAGCTTCATAAGAAATTCATGAAAGACAAAGCTGATCATCTACAGGGTTTGAAAGGTATTATTTCTATTGCCTTCTGGTTTTGTCATCTCTTACTCTTAAAGGTACTAATCTTGGTTGTCAAAAATGTCTATTTCTTTCATTAACGAAGTAGGGTATTACCGAAAGGGATGATAATGTGTTTCTGCTTTACAGACACTGTTTCAAAGTTTGAGGAAGACAAGGAGAGGCTTTACATGCGATATGAGCAACTAAGTAAGCCAACCAATCCATTATAATGAGACCACTGTTATAAGATGGCAACACATACTCACTTTCATCTGTAAATAACAAATAGGGAAGAAGGAGAAGACAATGATAACAGAACAGGAGAAGTTCTGCACTGAAAAGCTTGCTCAATTGGAAGAGTCGCTGAAGAAAAAGAAACGGGTAAGTAAAAGACTTCCATGAACATTATTCTCTCTCTCTCTCTTTAATTTTGTTAAATGACTGAAACGCGAATTCTCTGCATGTAGAATGACAAAACTTTCAGCATACTGAGGAAAACACTCGGCTCTTTTCTGGAAAACGAAGCTTCTGATGAAGAATTCCCACCTGAAGATGAGTGAAAGATCAACGTCTCTTCACTTGATGCTAGAAAGGTAAAAAACCCTTTTACTTTGATTAGCCAGCTAGACGCTATTTTAAGTTTTCTCTCCCAGCAGAAAACACTCTTATGTTATAAATATGAACCTTAATTTCTTTTATGTTATTGTCTGTAATGAATGATTATTACATTTTAGCAGTCTCTCCACAAGTTAGCTAGCTAACATCTATATCTGCCGTTTGCAAATGTTGTTATTATGACGGACTCATAAAGAGCCTCAGTTATAGATTAAAGCTTATTAAAAGCTAGCAGTTTCTGGCCAAACTTCTCCCCCTTTCTTCTCTTTACTTACCAGTTACCACTAGCCACTTTCCACATTGCCTAACATATAGGCGGATCTATATAACCCAAGTCATGGAGCTTCTAAACCACAGAAATTGCATATTCAGTACCCACCATCATTTCTTACACTCTTCAGTGTTTCATTTGATTGCTTTGGTTGCTCTGCAACTAAGAGTCTAAGAATGACATATATGGGAAGGACACTATTTTCCTCATGATAAGTTTTTAAGTTTATCTTACTCTATTGTATTGTATGTCAGCGGCACTATGAAGGTTTCAAGTACGTATGTTACAATGTCGAGATAGATGTACAACATAGTTCAGTTAAGGAGCCATTTGCAGTGCTTGTAATGAGATTGCATTGTCTGTGTGAGTTGCGTTGATGGTGACTTCACTGTACCACTTTGCCTAACAAGATAACACACATCCAAATCCCAATGTTTTTGCATTTTGACCTCGTTGTTTTACATGTTTTGCCAAAACACATCATGCATCATATATAAAGAGCAAACGGACCTTTAGGATCCTTGTCAAAATGAATCATATTAACCAAAGGTAGAGCATTCTGTGATAGATCCGGTCCTTCTGAACTTTTGTAGAAGAAGAAAGGATTTGCTATTTCAAAATAAACATATTTTCTCATGAATTACAGCACGCCTCTTTGGTTTTACAAGAATCTCTTTTTGACATTGAAAAGAAAACAAAAGAGGGTGAAAATGTTAAAAGAAGATGAGTTTTCACTTCCAGAGTTCTTCCATGGGGATTCCACGCTCTTGAGCAACATCACGGAACTGTCTCATCTGTTGCACTGCTGCAAGGGTAGCTCTTGCATTGTTGAGAGCATTGTTGCTTCCGAGCTGTTTCCCTAATGCATTCTCAACTCCTGCCATCTCTAGCACAATCCTAACCGCTCCTCCAGCAATCACACCAGTACCTGGTGAAGCTGGTCTAAGCATCACCTTAGCTGCTCCATAATCACCCTCTGATCTATTAAAAATAAATAAAAAAGCAAACAAACTCTCTTAAACATAACCAAAACATTCAGAAACATAAGCCCGCCCCAATTGCTCCCGAAGCTTTAGCTCCATGGCCTATCAACCAACCGATTCTTCTAAACGTTTGTGCACAATGCAAACATCAGTTTCATACAACTATCACACCAATCCTTAAACCAAGAAAATTATCACATCTAGCACAACCATGGCTGCACAATGTGTAAGAAGAATAAAACTCAAAATCTTAGTTCATTGCCAATTGATTGACCAAAACCGATTCTTCTAACCATTATGGCACAATTTAAGATTTTGGGTAATAAGTCCCATAACAACAATCCTAAAACCAAACAAAACCATCACAATCCAACATAACCATGGCTGCACAAATGCTAACAAGAACTAAACCCCAAAGTCTTAGTTCATCACCAAGTAAGACTTTTTATCATCCAAACCAATTGATCTAACACATCAACACACATTGCAAGCATCAAATCCAAAACTGTTTTGTTACCTGTGCGGGAAAGTAGAGTACTTGGTCATAGGAACTTGAACAATGTTTCTCCTAGCATCAATAGCAGATTTCTGAACAGCAGCTACAACTTCCTTAGCCTTGGCACAGCCAACACCAACATTGCCTTGTTTATCACCAACAACAACAATAGCTCTAAACTTCAATTGCTTCCCTCCTTTAACAACCTTAGTCACTCTCCTAACCTGCACAACTCTCTCTTCGAACCCATCTCTAATCTTATCCTTCTTTGGCTTCCCACCAATACCTGAACTCTTCTTAAACTTGGAATCCATCACATAAATGTCCTTACCAAGCATACTCTCACCACTATACGCCGGACCGTAGAGCTCTTCGAACGCCGTCGCGATCTCTTCCTCTGTCTCGTCGCTTCCTTCGTCGAAATACGGAGGAGCGACGAAGCCTTCGGGAGCAATTGGTGGGTCGAATACGACATTCGCGGTTATCTCCGGGTTTTCATCCTCGAAGAAGATAGTTTCGGCTTGTTCGTTGGAGGCTTTGACGAGAGTGAGGGATGAGACGCGGCGGTTGAGGAATGAGGAGAAGGAGACGATGGGTTTTGTTGAGGAGGAGACGAGAGATGAGGTTCGGGTGTGTAGGGAGAGAGAAGAGAGTGAAGAGAGAGCTGATGCTGTCGCCATTGAAATGGAGGTTTTTGGATGAGGAAGGAAGCGAGAGTGGAGCTGAGGCTTATCCAGCACCAGATTGGTGTAAACTGAAAAGAAGATTGTGTTGGGGGGCTTTTAAAGCAAATTATTAACTTTTAGTTTCTTACGAATTAGCCACAATATATTCTGTAATAATATCTAAACCTTCATATGTTTTCATTGTATATTACAACATTAGTGTCTTACGGTCATTTTGTTCGAATTGGGCACATAAGTTGAAGGCCCATTACTTACTTCCCTTTTGTGGCCCATGAAGCTTCTTCACACCCTCAATTGGATCTCTAAAAAGACTTCACTAGTAAATAATACCCAGTTACCCACATCAAAACCTAGAGTTTTGCCCAAAAAAATCAAAACGTAGAGTAAAATGATTAAAGATGATGATGAATCACAAATTCACAATGATAAGATTTTGATGTGAGTATTATTTACTAGTGAAGTCTTAGAGATGTGGATCTCTAACTCTAAGATGGTGATGTTTATCCTTTAAGAATACTAATTCATAACCATGTTAATTCAAACATTCTACCTTGTTACTTGTTAGTCAAGAGAAGGTATACTATTTTCTAATCATTTTTACGAACCCTAGTCAAATTTTACATATAAAGCCCGACCAAAAGATCGGTTTTATTTTACATTTCGAAGATAGCCTTACCAGTAAATTAAGTTGTTCGTAGCATTGTAAGATTTCGGCTAAACAGTTTTAGAAACCATGATGATATATAGTTTTATCCATTAGTGTACGTACACACAGTCTCTCTATGATCTTAGTGTTTATGGGACAATGGGTTGGAAAAGTTGGTCGCATTGTTCTCTAGAAGAATTTTAAAAGAGAGAGTGTGTTTTGCGAATAAAAAAGGTGACCAAAGATAAATGAGACTGTACAAACAATCGTCCCTACTTCAAAATTTTTCTAACTTGCTGCGTTGGTATGTCACGTGGTGAAGTTAAGGTTCCCCCACCACTTCTCTTCTTTATTGTCTGTCCCATTCCAAAGGTGTTGTTAAGAAAACAATGCAGAGATCGAGTCTTTTTTTTACTTTTTACCAACAACATATATCGCAAACGTCATTTCTTATGATCCACACACACACTGATGTCAACAAAAAAATCTACTTCTTAAGTTGTACGCACGTAACAAATAAAAGGTAAGCTCGATCGTTAATTATAATCTTGTGTAACTTGTATATAACTGTGTATAAGAAGATAGTTTTGTTCATCTAATCATAAAAACATAAAAAAGTTTTTGACATCATGTCTATGGACTTGTTGATCACTATAGTTTTTCTCTCGAAGTTTAGCTACAAATATTATATATCCCATCAAAAAAGTTGAAAAGGTTTTGTATACAAATCGATCGTATCATTTTCATTGTGGCGAATTGAATTGGTCTAATGGGGAATGAAAACGAAAAAAGAAGAGAAGGACTGAATTGGAGAATGAGATGCTTGATGAACAAAAGATATATATGTAAACAAAAATTGACAGGCGGCAGTACAATAATGTGAACTAGTGTCATGACAGCTGACGACTCTACTACTGCCTAGTCTTTGCTTGACGTTAATCGTTCCTTCATTTCTTTCTCTTGTCCATTAATATTTCAGCTTAAGGAATTAACGTGTGGGGTTTCTAATTCTTTGTTTATATTTGTACCTTGTTGTCATAATATGTATCCATATTCATTATATAAAGTTGAAGCTCTTTTGATCTAGTTGTGAATCAAAATATATATGAGATTAGATTTGTAGAAGAATATGTGAATTATGCAAATCAATGGATTTTTAACAATGATGCTGATGAAACCATTTGTCATTGTCCCATGTGACAATTGATACTTGTGGTGCAAATAAAATGATCCGATGCAAAGTAGTTTGTAGAACCGTCGATGTGTTTTCAAGTGTTTTGTAGGAAATTAGATTCGCCTACTACCATAATAAATCCATCATTTGTGATAGGTGAAGATCTACTAATGAACACACACACACACACACAAATCACAATGGTATATGTACCAAAACAAAATGCTTAGTAATCACAAGATCTATTAGTTGATATCATTAATTTATGTCGTGATCTCAAGATCAGAAATTATGATTTGGTTTTGTCAAAAAAAAAAAAAAAAAAGTTTAGTTTTTCTTACGTACGTGATGATGATTCGTCATGCATGACTCATGTGGATTTAAGTTAGAGATCAAACTCGACTAAGTAATATAAGTATTGAGGATCCTAATTAAATTTGGTTTTTCTCATCTGGTCATTATAAACGTCTCAAGTGACGTCTAAAACCCTAAAGCTTCGAAATTAGTTTAACTATATAGAATGATTCTATATATACAGTAGTACTAGTGCATATCAAACAGTCAAACACAAACTCCTTTTAAAATATTGATTCGATTCGTTTTATGTCAATGTCGTGGATCTCAATTCTAAATTATGCCTCGGCATACTAAGGTTTTCATTCATATGACTTTTAAAAGTCAGCGATAATACAGCATTTTACTGGTGGTTCTTGTGTTCTGTAAAATAGTAAAGACGAGGGGGTGACAAAGAGATAGATTTGTCCCTTAGCCTCTTAAGAGATAGAAACCAAACATTTGCATAGCTGTACCCTCTCTAAATTTGTGCATTTGTAGAGATATGCATCGGTCTTAACTAATTACATAAAAACGGCAAAACTTCATTCACAATTTGTGTTAGATATGCAAACAAATATATAGTAGTGAAAACTATAATTTTAATTGGTAAAAGAAAACATTACAATATACACATTTGCTGTTTTTCACCGTTTAGTTATAACATTTATACTAATATTTTGATTAAACGACATATATATATTACGAATTGAATTAACACATACATGTTCAAGTTTGGACCATTCTTATATGTCTACTTTTGGCTTCGTGGCCCCGATGACTAAACTTGATCGACCTTATCATCTTCACCAAACAAGAAATTAAATTGTCAAATTGATTAATTTAGTGGTGGCCCTATGTATGCTATAATATCGAAGCAACTTCTCTTTGTAACCAGAGATATTATTCTTACGAGTTACGACATATTTATGTGCAAATTAGTGGACATATTCCTCAGTTATAAAATAACATTTTCTTCTTACAAACCTACCAATGGATAACTCAATGAGCCATCCCAATGGTTGATCAGTTCCAGTCCAAGAAACAAAACAAAAGAGAAAACGTACTACACTCTGAATGATCTTTTCAAAAATGTAAAACTCAAATCAGTTTATGTTATTCGTTTTCTATATATACTGACACATTAAGATGATAAAAAAATTTCAAAGAAGCGAATGATTCATAAGAACGCAATGAGTCATGTGTGGTCTGTCTTCTAGTTCGAATCTCAACTTTTTGTTACCATATCTTTTCATAGTTTTAATCTCAACTTTTTGTTACCATATCTTTTCATAGTTTTTTTTTTCTTTTGCAGTTCCCTTTCTCGGTATTGTCTTGTCAACCTGCATATTCGAGTCCTGGTGCCTGGTGGTGACATTGTATCGACAATTACTGAACCACAAAATTAACCCTGTTCCTCGTCAGGTTTTAAGGATACATGTGTGTGTGTGTATATACAAAATAATAGAGCACTAAAGCTTGTTCGTACTATTTTTTACACAACATGCTAATAATTTGTATACCTTAGGACGTGAAAAGGAAAATAAAAGAGTAAAAATTTTGTGGTCCAACAACTTAAGCACCTAAGATCCTTCCCCACTTTTGTTTTGGGGGTCCTTTATTTCTCTTCCAGTGTTTACTTTTACTTCCTCTTCTTCTCCATCTCTTCTTGTTCCATCATCTTTCATGTGAGAGAGAGAGAGAGAGAGAGTTGAATTTTGCAAATGAGTATGAGAAGAAGCAAAGCGGAAGGTAAGAGGTGTTTAAGAGAATTGAGTGAGGAAGAGGAAGAAGAAGAAACAGAAGATGAAGATACTTTCGAAGAAGAAGAGGCTTTGGAGAAGAAGCAGAAAGGTAAAGTTACGAGTAGTAGTAGAGTTTGTCAGGTCGAGAGTTGTACTGCGGATATGAGCAAAGCCAAACAGTACCATAAACGACACAAAGTCTGCGAGTTTCACGCCAAAGCTCCTATCGTTCGGATCTCTGGTCTTCACCAACGTTTCTGCCAACAATGCAGCAGGTAAAATATCTGTCATCTTTTTTTCAAACTCCTGCTTCAGCAACCAAAAACAAGAACAAGAACTATGACACCTTTTAACTTTGGTTTCTAAGGTTTCACGAGCTCGGTGAGTTTGATGAAGCCAAGCGGAGTTGCAGGAGACGCTTAGCTGGACACAACGAGAGAAGGCGGAAAACCGCAACTGAATAAAGATGGTGAAAGGTGTGAGATCCCCATTTGAAGATTAATGAAACAGGCTTTGCTTACTCTCTTCTGTCAGTCTCTTTTAGCTCCTTGTAATCCCCTGTGTATCTCTCTGTTTCTCCATATTGCCTGCAATCAAAGCTCTATGCTAAACCTACGATATGATTAAATAAATGCATTGAGACTAAGTAAATGCTTGAAGAATTATGTGTAACACTGTGTAAACTCTAGATCAGGAATCTGTATATGTTTTGCAATCAACATATGAGGACAGAGAGCTAAATAGCTAGCAAGAAATAATAATATGGGAGACACTTTTGATTCGTGATATCTGTAGTTCTCTTACAAGAAAGCTCATCAAAATCGGACCAAATAAATTAGATTGGAAAACTAATCCTAGTCACGTTTGATACCCAACATTTTCATTGAGAATTCCCAAGCAACGATTGCTGCTGCATTAGCAGGAAATGCTCTCACAATGGTTGGCCCCAGACCTGCATAGCATCCCTTGAGTCCTGCCCTCTTGTGAATCTGTAGGGATGATTTAAGGTCAAAAACAATATTTCATATACTCTTTTGTATGAGTGTTTAAATTAATAGACGGAAGATGGCAGACCGACCGAGCTCAACACTTTAAAAGGATTCCTCTCGGTAGCTTTGTCTGGAGAGGTCTGGATAATCGTTTTTGCTACATCAAAGGGCAAAACAGCTGACCAGCACTGCATCATACAAACAGAAGCAATATTCATATAAAATAGTAACAATTTTCATGATGGAATTCATGGAACAAACTAGATAGATTCTTACAGCTATGCCTCCAAGACCACCAGTGAAAACTCCTATCCCCATGTCAACCAAGTAACCATCTTTCAGCTTCGAATTCTCCAATCTCGAGTGGATATGATACCGTAAATACTCATAGACAGTAAAGAAGACAGCATTTCCAGCACATTCTCTTAATAATGTTGCCGAACCACCACGAAAAATACCTGTTACCTGAACGATATCCTCATCAACCTAATTTTCGATTCTAAGTAGAATATTCTAGTAACGAGAGTTTCTCACCCCTTCATTTTTGACCGTCTGAACAGCACAATCAAGAGGACTGTTGTATCTACGGAAGTTAGGAACCAAAGAGTCCGTACCTTGGATCTGCATTCTACACTGAAGAAAACAGTGAATGTCCAAAAACTCCATGGAAACCATCAAAGGTAATAACTTGGGAAATAGAAATGGTGCTCTGGAGATTCACCTTTACAAGCTCTGTTGGACATAATACAAAGCTAATAATAGCTCCACCGAACATAGCAGACGGAACAATTATCTCTGGCCGTGGCCCATCATCTGGCAAAGTTCCCTTTACATTAAAACATCAAATAAGCAAAACTTGAAATCTGTAAGAGATAAAGATATTTTAAATAGAGTGAAAGATCGGATGGCTTAATATGTTACCCGCAAGAACAGCTTTGCCTGGGAGTATATACCAAACATCAATGAACTTTCAAAGGCCATTCCCAAAAACGATGATGTTGCTCCCCTATAAAGTCCTTTGACCTAAAATATGATTTCAAGTCAGCAAAAAAACTTGTATCTAGCCAACCAGGTGATGATGGGAGATCTAGTAAGTATCTATTGCCACAGAAAAATCCAGACTTTCAAGAACTAAAAGTGTTTGCAAGATGCTAGAGTCTAAAAGGAGAGATAACAACAAGAGTGCACGGAAATATACTCCTTCAGATTGCAGGATCCTGGAAGCACAATGCAGTCCATTTTTGTATCTAAGTCCTTGCACCTCTGTATTATGTTTCTGAAGTTTCACCTGAAAGTCAGGAAGAAACAAACCCGAACAATCAATCAATCATTACCTCCTTACATGAGTGATGTCAATCCAGTGATAAACTAACTATTGAAAAATGGTTAACCAAAAACAAGAAAAGACTTTAATGGCTAGAAAGCTCATAAGCAACACACCTAAACCAGAAATGATTTCTATAGTCTTTTCCTAGAGATACTTTAGCCATCACTAAAACTTAAAGTAGAGAAACAAAGATGCTCATATCCTTAACAAAAAGAAAAGGTAACATCAATTAACACATAATTGAGATTGTATATCGAATACTCCAATGCTAGAACACTTTGTCACACCAATGCATCCGTAATTAGAGACCAAGCCACATGATCAAAATTCAGCAGCTGGGTATGGAATTGGTGCCTGAAGCCTAATAATCTCTCGAATCGGAGCATGAAACATATATACCCACTTGGTATAATCACAGATTTGACAAGTAAAAATCGAAACTTGGGAATGGAAATTGAGTACCTTGACGGTGTCGAAAGGGTGACCGACGGCGACAGTGGCGAGACCAGCATTCATTCCGGCGACATATTCCTTGTAAAACCCAAACCCCTCTCCAGTCGTCGTCTTCTTCTCTCCCATACCCACCACGCCACCCCCGAGCAGAAGAAATAATAATTCGCTTCACAAGTTTTTTTTTTTTTTTTTTTTTTTGGTTCTTTCTTTTTTTCAAGACTTTTGATTAATTTCTGACATTGCTTGCAGTGCACTGTGCAGGGTAACATTTAAAACTTTCATAGTATGAGAGATTGCTACAAATTTACCCTTCTGCTTAGTAATTTTTTTTTAACTTTATTCATTTCTGACAAAATGATTTTACCAATACTTTTACACAACAAACGACTGCTTGAGAGCTACATAATACCTTAATCCGATTCTGGATCAATACAATCTAACTGCTCATTTCGGGATCAATCAATTCACACAATACTTACTCATGGTTCAAGAAACAATATATTGGCCAAATTATGTTTTTGGAGAAGTTTTGAACTTGTTAAAATTAATATTATATCAAATTTTTGTTTTGTAGGTTCAACAATTAAGAATTTAAGATGATCATTTTATAATATTGTTAAAAATCTTAGAACTTGCATATTATGGTTTCAATAATATCTAATAAAAAACCATAATATGCAACTTCTAAGATTTTTAAAATTTACATCCAAAGACATGTATAACCTCTCTTTTTTTTTTGCCATCTATAAACTTTGATTAAATTACTATCATATATTGTTTGTTGACAACAAAGAATTAATCTAACCATGGTTAAGCTTTTGATATATAACTTTAGACAAGTGAAACTTTAATTAAATCACTATCAGAAATCATAATTACTTGTTGACACAAATAATAATTAATCTAACCATGGTTAAGTTTTTGTTATTGAGTGTTATGAGATCAATCACGGTTAAGTTACATTATGCTAACCATGGTAGTGTAGTTCTATCGCTAGCTAACTCATTTAGAACAGTAGAAACATTACATGAGACAAGAGGACGTATATAGCATCATTGCCACAAATATCTATCCCCACCTGGTTTTAACTTATAATTGTACCCAACAAGGGAACTATACATCCGAACTTCCGAAGACATGTATAAACTCTAAATAAAAGACTATCATAATATTGTTTGTTGAAACAAGCAACTCATCTAACCATGGTTAAGTTTTTGGTTATAATGATATGAGATCAACCATAGTTAAGGTTAAACCTTGTTTAAATCACTATCATTATCATGATTGGTTGATTGACACTTTGACACAAATAATTCATCTGAGTATCTCTAACCACGGTTAAGTTAAGTTTTTGTTATTTATGATATGAGACCAACCACGGTTAAGTTAAAATTCCATAATGCTAACCAGAGTTAGATTCTATCTCATCATAGAAGTAGTAAAAGCTTAATAGTAGTTAATATTACCGAACAGTAGGAAACTAGAAATATTACAAGAGACAACAGGCAGGACGTATCGCCACCGTCGAAACCAAGCCAGGTGGTGGAGATTAAACGGTCACTATTCACTAACTGACCACAAACGACAAGAAAAAGAGTTGCGAATACAACCAAAGTAAACGAAACAGCAAACAAACACGTGGCGGAAGGAAGACATGATGCATATCTAATTCACCGGCATGTATGTCAGTCCATCCTCTCTCGTCTCTCCGCTCAACGGTGCTGGCTCCTAGTATCGTCGCTGTACAACCTATACGGATTAATTACATCACCGGTCAGAACATCTTAGATCTGATCTGAGTCGTACGTCTAAGCTAGTAAGCAAGTAAAAATATAAAACGTTTAGTACGTACCAGTCGTAGACAGTGGGAGAGTTAGGGTGAGAAGGCTTGTCAAAGAGGTTTGTGCCCATTCCTCTAGTGGCTATGTTACTCCCTGGATGAAACACACTTCTCCACACGTTCTCCTTACGTGCAGATCCTGGCGTCGTCGGAGTTCCAGGACTTCCCGCAACAGCCGGCACAGTTTTGCTACTGCTTCCTTCTCCTACACCTTCCAAAATATCATAAACATAATTAAGAGATAGTACATATAATACAAATATCTATAATATGCAAAGGTGATTATGGACTTATATAAGCATGTACCTTTGATGTCAAGGGGTTGAGCGGTGATCTTATTGCGGAGGCGGCCAAGGCCATGCTCCGGCTTAGGTCCGGCAACAGTTTCATCCCACATCTTTTCTTTATCTGCCCTTTTGTTTTTTTTTCTTGTTTTAGTTAATTTAGGAGAGAAGGGTGTGTCAAGTGTAAGGCTTCCTTCATCTAATTTTATAGACCCATTTGTAAAACTATTTCTCAAAATATCTATTTCTTTTCTCTTCTTTTTTTTTCTTTTTTTTTTATTCGACCCGTAAAATATCTAGAGAAATAGTATTAGACAAAAAAACAAATTGACAATTATTATTAGTTGGAAGGAAATATACCAAATGAAGTTTAACTACAGTAAAACCTCTATAAATTAATAATGTTGGGACCATGAAAATCTATTAATTTATAGAGGTATTAATTTATCGATAAATTAATAATTATTAATTTATAGAGAGATATTCCTAATTTGGAAAATATTTTCAAAACAATATTTTAAAAAAAAAGATTTAATCATGATAATTAGTATTTTATATAATCAATTACAAATAAAACAATAATTATTATGTATTAAAAGAGAATGCTAACTATTTTTCATATAGTAAAATATTAGAAATAAAATCTAACAAAAACTAATGTGTATATATATACATATTTTGAAAATTTTACCTAATTATTAATTTATAATATTGATGGGACCATATATTTATAAAGGATTTTCCAAAAATTTATTATCTTATTATTTTATCGAAATGTGTCTAAAATTACACTGGTCCCAAGTTGGGACTGGAGAAATTTATTAATTTATAGAGATTATTAATTTATCGAGTATTAATTTATAGAGGTTTTACTGTAACTAGAATCTTGGTTAAAAAATGATGAAAATTAGGATGTGATAAGCCAGTTTTATATGTATGATAACACGTATACAACCTTAGTTTAATACAATAATGTTACCATAAAATACTAGATCAAACCATGATAATCAGAAGAGTGAGCAGTGGGAGGAGTGTGGGAAATATAAAAAAGCTAGTTGGATAGAGATCGAGAGATATGGATAAGGACGAAGAGTCACGAAGTGGGGACACCTTTGGCATCAAAGTATCCTAAAGGCTTTCGTGGAAAAGTATTATAGGAACAACAAACACATTTCGTGGAAAAGTATTTTATAGGGACTTAAAGCCGAGACTATCGTGCTTGGACATCTCTTGAGTATAAAAGTAATACTAACTTCTGATTTCACAAAGCCTACATCTCTGGTTTTGTATGCAAAACAAAGAAACGAAGTCAAGATGATCGAGAACATACCTTTTGGTTTCTCTCTTTATTTTCCCCTATATCTGCTTCCAAAGCAACCACCTCTATATAGTATATATACTATATATCATGGCATTACTTATTCTGTTACAATCAACCATCCATCTTTGTAAGGGTGAAAAAACTGGTTTAGGCCTAAATTAAGATTTGAAGAGTTTTACATTGTATACATACACTGTGTATGATACACATTTCCTCCACCATGCTCCACTTCCAACCTTATTCCATTATTGGTTAAAGATAGGAACGGAGATCCAAAAGAATTTAGGTGCTACTAACTAAAATCCTAACTGAGGAAAAGAAAGGATGACATAATTTACAAGAATCTCGTCCATTCGAGCTCATTGCCACCAAGTGGCATTTTCGTTTTATAACTCAGGGTTTACCATACTTTTGGACGTACCCCTGCAAGAACAGAGGACATTTCAGATTATAAGGCAATGCTTACCCCTGCTCAGATGTGTTTAATTTTGCTCTAAGAAACTCACCTCGACAAGCTTCACCATTTTGGTTGCATTGAAACCAAGATACTGCTCAACTGATTCGGTGTCAGTTGGCACCTGATGACACTCGACAGCACCGCTGACTACCTTTTCCGCAGCTTTTTTAACTATCATGTTATGCACCTCTTTGGTAAGACGACCTTCACGCCACAACGGTTTCAACATTTCTTTTACGGTTTCCACAACTGCAGTTCGGAATTGTCTCATTACTTTTATCTCTGCATCTGACCTCACTTCACCATCTATCTCATCTGCTTTCAACGTCTTTTTATATGAAGACCCATCACTCCTATGCCAAGAATCATGCCCTGCAGGTTTGCTCCTTTTCAAAGCAACTCTATTCTCTGCAGCTGCTGCCGAAGAAATCTCTTTACTAGGTGTTGTTGTATCATTTTGATCAACCACTGAAGTAGCCACCCCTTCCACTACTCCATGTGCTTCCAAACTCCTTCTTGCCACACTTTCTTGGCGTTGATTTTGACTGCATGAACTACTTTTATCATCATTCTTGCATTCCCGTTCTTGTGGACCAGTACCAGAATCACCATCTCTCTGCTGGAGAGAATTTTTCTGTGCATGGTCTCCTTTACTTGAAAATGAAGCATTAAGAGATCTGTCTTCTAGATTCTCTATATCCGTGAAAGGATCATAGAGGGCATCAAACGAGGGGAGTATATATGGTGGAATTGTAAAAGATGCTTTAAAAGGTTCAGAAGGTTCCCAATCATCTGAAGAAACTTTCTTTCTACTGCTAGTTGTGTTGCCTTCTGAACCTTTCTCAGAAGAAACTGCTATCTCTTGCAGCGTAGGAAGTGATCCAGATCCACATATATTACTCCCCTTTTCAAAATGCCCCACGTTTGAAACACCCTCATTCATAAGAACCGAAGTTACAGAACTGGGCAATGATCCTGTCCAGGCTGGTCCAGAAGATACCATGTCTGTTTTTAAATATGAACTGATAGAAGATCTATTATCATGAACAAAGCTGCTTCTCAATGTGAAGGGATTACTGCTATTAATGACTAGAGACCTGTTGTCCTTGAAATCAGCACCACCCATTTGCTTCAAACTCTCTCTTCCTATGTTTTCCGAAGAAGGCATAAAGCGCATCTCGTTATTGAACGGGAAAACTCTCTGAGAACCTGGGGGATTCACGAAAGACATGGAGGAGACAACTCTCTGAGGTCCTGGGGGATTCACGAAAGATATATGCTCTCTGGTATGAAAAGGTGTCAAGCCGTTTCCACTCAACTGGGAAACTCTTACACCTTCTTTGCTGTCCGATATTCTTCTTTCTGAATAAACACAAGCAAAGTAAATTATTGGTTGGTTCATGAAGAGTAATTAAACCCCAGAAGTAGTCAACAGCCTCTATACTATTGAAACTGCTTCCACATAGGATCACTAATATTACAATCTTCAAAAGAATACTGTATTGGTACTACATACCTAAATCAGACTGGATATAACTGCTTCCAGCCATATTATTTCCCGCCTGCTGTTGACTAGTGAAATTTGAATTTTCTTTCACATGTAGAAACCTGCAGGACACCCCATTGAAACACCCCCCTTTAGCAAAAAACTTGCAGGGAAGAGCTACACGTTTTTGTTCTGGTTCATTCCTTTCACCAGCAGGGAAAAAGCTTTTTGGCGTCATACCAGGAACAGGAAATCTGAGAACCGAATATGTCAGTATAAAAGGCTTCAAACATGCAAAGTACTGAAGGTCAACCTCCTAACTTATTTTCAGCAAAACTGAAACAAGAAACAATTGCTATACCTTGATAAAGTTCCATTATTTTGAGCAAAAGCTTGTTCCTTTATGAATTTTGCTTGCTCATCCGAAGGTATTTTTGCTTGTTCGAAGTTTGAATGAACAAAAGAGTTTCCTAGAAAAACAAAAGTACAAAACTTTGAGAAGGATGTTCTGTAACAGTAATAAATTTGCCTACTTCGTATTAAAGCCACAATTTCAACAAGAGAGCTTCAGTGACAATCTAATTGCATAACCATTAAGTATTTGAGCCTCTCACTCTCATCAGAGCTAAATCTAGTCAATTTCATAATTCTAACTTTCTTATAGAAACCAAAACTTATCTATATTCATCAGTTCCAATAAGAATAGGTGTTTACATCAATCAGTTCACAAAAGAATTGACACAATTAATCAAAAAAACCGTGCACAAACACGAATTCAATCAAATACTAACCGTTCTGGGGATTGGGAGCTTGAATTGGTTTATGCAGCAATTGAGGTTCTCCTCCAATTGTATGTACTTGCACCTTTTGTTCGACCTCATCATCGTCAATGTCCATGTCGGAGTCAGACATCTCGAAGTCTCGGGCGAGGGAACCAACCCGGAAGAGTAATAAATTTATAAATACTGCGGCGTGATCGGCAGAGGACGAAGCTCGCTGTTGGTTGAGTCCTGATCTCCGAGAATACGTTTGGTATCGAAAACCACCATTGATTGATTACAAGTACTAATTTATATATGTACTGGGCCTTTCCTGAATTATAAAGCTTAAGGCCCAATACTAACCTTTTTAGCAAATAATTTCCTAATTTTGCATATTGTTTTGTCGTTTATGCTAACCGGATTAGACCAAAACAAGAACCGAAATCAAACCGTGAAAAACGTGAAGCGTAGTGGCGTTCTGTTCCACGTTTACTCCATCATCACTGTCACTGATAACCCTAACTTCAGAATCTTCCGGCGCTTTTCTCAATTTTGGTGATATTAAGAATAAGTCTTCGTTCGCCGCCGGCTAGTTTTTGATGGCGGACCAATCTTCTGATAACGTTGACAAGATTTCGTCGGAAATGGAAGCTGTTTCCGTTTCATCAACTCAGGCATCTTCTTCGTCCGCTGGATTGCAGTGAGTTATCTTACCCATCATCAGTAATTTTAGTTTCTCTATTCATTTTGATTTTGGTTTGGATTATTTGATTTTCTCATGGAGATCAGAGCTTTCCCCTTAGTCCGGCTATAGTAATTTAGGAGTATGGGATTTTTAAAATTGAAAATTCTCCAATTCTGAAGTGTTGCATTGTTATCTGCTAATTGGTGTGGTGGATTGAAAATTTTTATTTAACTTCAGGATGAGTGAAGAGGCTGAGAAGAGATACCGAATTGTTAGGAGCATTGGTGAGGAATGCATACAGGAGGAAGAGCTTAAGAATCTTCTTGCTAAGAAGGCTGCTCCGATTTGCTATGATGGGTTTGAACCATCAGGAAGGATGCACATTGCTCAGGTTAGTTTATCTCCTGGAGTGTTTTTAGTTTAACTTTAGCTGCCATGTTAGTTAATTGTTGTCATGTATACTGTGTGCTACTTTGGTTTTCATTTACTCCATTACTTTATATGGGAAGCTTCGGCTAATCTGTTTTGTTCTGTTTTTTCCTGTTAGGGAGTGATGAAGGTCATTAATGTGAACAAAATGACTTCAGCTGGTTGCAGAGTGAAAATTTGGATTGCTGATTGGTTTGCTCAGCTGAACAACAAAATGGGTGGTGACTTGAAGAAAATCAGAGTGGTTGGAGAATACTTCCAAGAGATATGGAAGGCAGCTGGGATGGACAATGACAAAGTTGAGTTTTTGTGGTCGTCCGAAGAAATTAATTCTAAGGCGGATAAGTACTGGCCTCTTGTGATGGACATTGCTCGCAAAAACAAGCTCCCTAGAATTTTAAGGTTACTTTTTGTTCATCTTCTCCATGCTTGAGTCATTCTATTACGAAGGGAAACTGTGGGACTAAAATGTGTCTGTTTCTTGTCCTTGCAGATGTGTGCAGATTATGGGACGTAGTGAGACTGATGAACTGAGTGCTGCCCAAATCCTTTACCCATGCATGCAATGTGCAGATATATTTTTCCTTGAGGTAGCTTTATATGTATTTTGGATTTTGTCCTTTAGTTAAGACAGACTTTGCTTATGAACTCTGTTTTGGAAGTCATAGCTAGTTACTTGAAATCCAGAGTTTATTTCTTGTTTTATCTCACAGAAAGTCTACTATACTGTTGGAAAAATAACATGATAAAAGCTACAGACTGGAAAAAGTCGTGAATGATTGGCAGATTTTGTTGATGTATATAGTTGATTCTTACTTAGTGTAATGTTATATCTGTAGGCTGATATCTGCCAGCTTGGTATGGATCAAAGAAAAGTAAACGTGCTAGCCAGGGAATACTGTGATGACATAAAGAGGAAAAACAAACCAATAATCTTGTCGCACCGTATGCTTTGCATTTTCCTATTTGACTTCTGTTGTACCACAATTTTCATGGTCTAGCATTGTGTATCATCTTTTCGCTGTAATTTCTTGCAGATATGCTTCCTGGTCTCCAACAAGGACAAGAAAAGATGTCCAAAAGTGATCCATTATCTGCCATTTTTATGGAAGACGAAGAGGTAACTGTGATTTAAGCAAATCTTATAAGTTCATAAAAGTAGAGGAGTTTTACAGTTATTGACTAGTTTTGAAGGTCTTGTCGTCCTCAGGCTGAAGTTAATGTGAAGATCAAGAAAGCTTACTGTCCTCCAAAAATTGTGCAAGGCAACCCATGCCTTGAATACATCAAATACATTATTCTACCGTGGTTTGATGAATTCACAGTTGAGCGAAATGAAGAATATGGTGGTAACAAGTGAGTTTCTTACCCTTTTTTGCCTGAGATGCTTGTCCATTTTGTGGATTTTTAGATCCTATTTTGATTGCTGTAATCCTATAACATATGTCACAAAGATGGTGAAACTAATCCTGCTGTGGAATTTCTTCCATATGTTAGGACCTACAAAACCTTTGAAGATATTGCTACTGAATACGAAAGTGGTGAGTTGCACCCTGGGGATTTGAAGAAAGGCTTGATGAATGCGTTGAATAAGATTTTGCAAGTAAGTAAAACTTTATGTTAGCAAAAAAGTTAGAAACAATTGTTCGGCAAAATCCTTACCTCCTTTTACGAATAATGGCAGCCTGTTCGTGATCATTTCAAAACAGACGCACGCGCCAAGAATCTGCTCAAACAGATCAAGGTAACAAGAAAACATATTGTGTTTGCGGTTACGTATTTAATTCTACTACATAAGAAGCTATTTCTCACTCCTTTGGTTTTTGGTTTTGTGTAGGCTTACAGAGTCACCAGATAAAATGACAGAGCCAGAATGTGTCATTGTTTCGACGCTGTAAAACTCCTAGATTTTGTTTATTATTATATCAGATGCTATGCTTCTACAGTTCTACTAATTTACCATCTCCAGTATTGGGGTCAATAAAATACTTCTTTTTATGATAATGGTCTTGAGTAGTTTTAATGTCAGTATAAAAAAATTATCCTGTACTGTTGTTTTTTATATCTTTTCAAATTATGCTTTAAAACAAAATTAGGAAGAAATTATAATTTCGTAATTTGATATTATCTATAACATAGTTACACAAAGATCTTATCAGAAAAATATATATATTACTCAACTCAATAATATAGTTTGTTTATTTGGTCTTAGATTGACGTGGCTGCCTCAAACTGTCTTTTGTTTTCGTTCTTTTTCTTTTATCTTTAACTTTTTAAATTTTTATGAAAAGTTGAGAGAGTTTTGCACCAACAAACAAAAAAAAAGTTGAGAAAACAGTAAATTCCACTAAAAAGAATCATTAGAAGAAGGAGGAGAAGACTCACAAGTCTTCTATATTTAGGGCTTTCTTCTAAGAGATCGAAGAAGAAGAAAGAGATTTTGTTCAATTCGAGATTTTCCTCAGTCCCAATGGCGTCAAACACCAACAACGACAATTTCCAGCACAGACCACGCCAAAGAAACGGACCGCCTCCGCCGCGGCGTCAAGGGAGAAACCCGCCGCCTCCGTCGTCGTCAACGCGAACTTCTCAGAATCAGCCACAGCAGCAGACGACGCCGCAGGCGAAGAGGAAACCGGTGTTCGTGAAAGTGGATCAGCTTAAACCAGGAACGAGCGGCCACACTTTGACTGTTAAAGTCGTCGATCAGAATTCGGTACCTCAGAAGCCTGGTGCTGCTTCTTCTCATCTCCGACCTGCTCGGATCTCTGAGTGTCTCGTTGGTGATGAGACTGCTTGCATCCTCTTCACTGCTCGCAACGATCAAGGTGAGTTTATCCGAATCCTCTGTTGCAATATTTGATGTGATAATCTGTTTTTGAATTATATCTCTCAAAGCCTTAGACGATACTGTAAATTTTCTTAGTCTGATGCAAATTTGATGATCGCATTTCAAATTTCTTCATAGCTAGAAGAATTGATACTTGAAAGATCGTTAGAGTAGCTTCAAAACAGTGTAGCTAATTGTGGTAAGAACTCAAATATTGGATACTTGAAGCCTTTCTCCTGAGACCTACATTGACAATACTTAAACTCATCGCTAGAATTATATCTTTGTTGATTAAAGAAGGCGCTCTAGGATCTGCTTTGCTCAGATATTGAATTTGGTGGTTCATAGTGGATTACTTCACTTTTCTGGTGGGGGATAATTATAAGTCTTCTCTTGGTTTTAATTTGGTGGGTGTGTAGTGGACTTGATGAAACCAGGAGCTACTGTGAATCTCCGGAATGCAAAGATAGATATGTTCAAGGGATCAATGAGGCTAGCTGTTGACAAATGGGGTCGCATTGAGGTCACCGAACCCGTTGACATTACTGTTAAAGAAGACAACAATCTGTCCCTTGTGGAGTATGAGCTCGTCAATGTCGCTGAGGAATGATTCGCCACAATGAATGAATTTTGTTTTGCTACCGTGAAGGTGTATCATATTTTATCTTATGATGTGGCAAGTTTGCCTACCGGTGTATTTATGTTGATGTCTGGTTTTGGTGCACACGATATATCAATATCGGTAATTGTTGTACTCTTTTGAGTTTTGGATGCTTTTGTATGGTCCTTGAACAGAAATGTTAATGCAAAACTTGGTTAAAAGATTTATATGTCTTGGAAATAGGCATTTACATTTCCCAAATTGCGACTTCTAAGTTTTGATATTTTGATTGTGCAACACCCGCAAATAAAGAGAAGCTCGGATTGGGACCAAGCGTTTTTAAATTGTCAAACTGAACTGGTTGGTCTTTACAAATCTCATAATTTAGAGAGTCGATAAGGAATTCTATAATATTCATTCCTTAATGGACAATCTTGAAGGTCAAAACTGGATCTTATGACCTAAGAAGAAACATGACATCGCTACTGCCACTTCATCACCATGCTTTAAACTGCACCCATTCTTGCACTCCCTTTGAGTTTCATCATGCATCATCAATACAATCTGAGCACATTGAACATCATATCAGCATCCAGAAAACATAACCACATGTGGTTAGGCGGAACAAAGAGTGTAGAAGGATTCATGAAAGTTTCTATTGGCGATTCATGTGAAACACTATCACTATCATAAGAAAATCAACCCAGCATCAAGATTACCCTTTGCCTAACTCCAAAAAGAAGACATGGTAGATAGTTTACATCACTCTGGGTGATTGTCCTTCAATTATAATCTTGACATAGACCAAAGTTGAGATTTCTCCATTGAAATTTGGTTACACATTTATACTTTGCATCCACTTCAAGTTTTCATACCAAAACACCAAATTCGTAAGTGCATTTAAGAAGTAGAGTTGAACTTGTGGATACTGCAACAATATCCTAATGCGAACTACGAATCTCAGAACTGGAAACAATGCTCCACCTAACAGGAGAAAGCCTAACAGAACTACCCATTAAACTATATAAATGCCTCCATTTACTACTAATGTTGATCAACTTTAAGACCAACAATCTTCAAAAGTAACATACCAACTCTACACTTTAATCTACAAAAACTGTGCAAATCCGCAAGCATATGATGGATAAACATGACCAGTGCAAAAAAAAAAAAAAGGATACAGCTATGTATCACACTCACTAGTCACTATCTTCATCAGTCAATAATAAGATTGTTTTCACCAATTTCTCTGGTGAATCAGTCACTAAGTATGAAGTATCATATCCCTGAGACAAATAGAGTCTTTGACTAGAGAAGTACCTTGGAGGATCCAAATGGAGCGCCCTGAAGCTGAAAGCATCGAATTGAGCAAAGCAGAAGCAGTGGCCGTGTGGTACGGCAAAATCGTGTCAACGCAGCAGCTCAATTCCACCGGAGATCTTTCAATTTCAAAATGAATTATCAAAAACGAGCTAAACCGCGACCGTACGTAACCAATGTTTCGGAATCGTCTGAAGAAGGTACCACTCACTGTGTGATTACCTGAAAATGCGGTTAGAGAGAGGGCTCTGTTTAGGCATCTTAAACGTAGACCGCGCAGAAGAAGGCGTAGGCTTCGTCGACCTTAACGCGGCAACTGCGGCCCGACCTACACCGGAACGGAGGACGGATCTGGCGGCGGACATTGAAACTTTCCGATCCTCGTTGGGATTTAGGGAGTTTTGTGGGTTTAAAGGTTTCGTTTGGGTCAAAGCTTCGCACCTTACAACTCGTTGACGTTACTTACACGTGCAATGTGTTTGTTTCACGAGCGCGTGCATGTCACGTGACTATCGCTAATTCGAGACCTCCATCCTAAAACAAATTAACAAGTAACAACATGAGTTTTTTTTACTAATTATGTAGACCTATTATATGTGACTATTGAATCTAATTTTTGAAAAGGCCAATGTCATAGATTCTATAAAAATCTGTAGTCGGTGGTTTCACAAAGCATAGACTGATAGACAGGGAAAAATATTATTGTAGAAATGCAATAATAGAGTTTGCTTAATTATGTTTATTATGTTCGTTTTAAACCCTTTATAGAGTTTTTTTTTTTTTTTTTTGCATTTAACCCTTTATAGAGATTAGCATTAGAACATTAGCATAACAAGCATATCAGCATAAACTATTTTATTCTTTTCAAATTTTATATGCAGACAATTATATATTTTGACTGATAAGTGATAAAACCATATATCATAAGTCATAACTTAGTTTCACAAAAACAAAAACACTTGAACATATATAAAAGCAAATACTTAATATTGTTTCGTGTGGGCATGCTTATGGAGTGAACTGTTCTCCTTGCTCTTCCCCGAACATGTCGGGTTGTTGGTTGGAATCGTATGGATTCTTGAAGTTGGGTTTCTTCTCATTGTAATCGGTGGGTTTGTAGCTGTTATACTGATTCTGGTAGTAGCTGCCGTGGTTTCTGTCGTCGTCAAGGTCGTAGTAGTATTTACCATTCGCCATATACCTCGTGTCGCTCATCCCTTGTCTCTCTACGTTATTGCTATAACCCTTGTACGCCTCCTTCTCTCCCTTCTCCGCCCCGTAAGTATTGGAGTTTCCATAGTAGCTTGTGTCCTTGTTACCATAACCCTTGTACGCCTCCTTCTCTCTCTTATCCGTTCCGTAAGTATTGGAGTTTCCATAGTAGCTTGTGTCCTTGTTGCCATAACCCTTGTACGCCTCCTTCTCTCTCTTATCCGTCCCGTAAGTATCGGGGTTTCCGTAGTAGATCGTGTCCTTGTTGTCGTCGTAAATCTCGGTCGTCTTAGGATAGCTCTCTTTGTAGTTCTTGTAAGATTCGTGGGTTTGATCCGTTTCGCTTAGGCTTGGGGTAGAGAAAGAGTCGTCGTAATTAACTTTCTCACCGTCCTTGTTATTGTTCAGCTCTTCATTGTTGTTGTAGGTTGTCTCGTGACCGTACAAGCCATACCCGTTTTCGGACTGGGGGATAAAGGCAGGGTTCTGGTCATCTTGCTCTTTCTTCTCGTTGGTTTGGTTAGGGACAAGACTGTTAGGGTTTTGGTCTGTGGGGATTTCTCTTTGGAACTTACCAAAGGAGTAACTGTCTCTTGCACTGATTTGGGTTGAGAAAAGAACAAGTGTTAGAAGGAAGATGCATGAGCTAGTAGAAAAAGCCATGGTGATGTGAGTGTTATGGGATTGTGAGAGAAAGTGGGAGTGTTTCTTATATATAGGAAAGGTTTTTTTTATCATTAATTAGTTTTGATTCATTTAACTCATTTAAAAAAATAATTAGTGTGTAAATATATGGTTAGGTGAAAATAAGGAGTGGATTGGTAATAATGGTTGATGGAGGATCCATTGAGAAGAGATGATTTTCAAAAGAGGTAGCTCGACTTTTTGGGGCGCCTATGCATGCAGTTATTTTATCAGAAAATGGTAACTAAAAGCAAACCTGTGATTATGTGGGAGTCTAATACCTAATATGGTGATGTTTGTTAAAACACTTATGCGACAATGAACATGCAATTCACTTGGTGAACAACATATATGAAAAGTCTACATCCAAATGTTCTACACGTAATAATAACACTAAAACAGTAAATTATAAATGGCCTATATATTGAACTTTTGAAGTCGTTAGTAGCTAGTTATTTTCTCTTGAGGGAAGAAGAAAATTAGTTGACTTAATGAACAATAAAAGGAAAAAAGAAACCTGTTTTTTTTGGTTCTATGTCAACCAATAAAAAGAAAATTAGTTGACAAAGAAAAAAAGAAAGAGTGAAAACGAAGTTGCAAAGGGAGAAGTAGTAGTAGTAATAAGTAAGTGGAGACGAGAGAATTTGGGGTGCCCACCACAATAGTCAATAAGGACACCGACACGAATCATACAATTCAAGCTCTGCGAGCATATATACTAGATTTAAGAAACTATTGGTCTGGTGGTGGTGATCCCATAAATAAAGGGAACATAGCTCGTTCGTATTTCTTAAATACTTTTACCTAATACAAATGAATGCTTTACGAAAAATTCAAGCAACATTTTGACTTCTGTGAGAGTATGGGAGAGAGAGTTAGGTACTTCTCCTTTTCAGACAATATTAAGATAGATCTCAACTACCCAAATAACAAAACGAATTAAACGGCTCCACAAATCTTCTAGGGAAAAATAAACAAAATAAAATTAATCAATTATAAGAAAAAGATTTGGTTAAATGATTAGACCCACAAGATAGTACAAGCAAAGGTTTGATTATCCACATTTGCATAGATTTGTCAAAGTACTACTACATTACTTGTGGGCAGCATCGTGACTTGCCGTTGGAACTAACTTATAAGGTTTGGTGGGTTTACGAATTAGAGAACGATATAGAATCTAACCCAAATCCTAATCCTCACTGCAAAATTGACAACTATACACACTACATACTTCCAGTATCGGAGCTTCAATAAGAATTCTCACAGATAGAATGTTAGAGGAATGATTTTCCCTTGAATTATACATTGATGTACATGACTTTAAATAGCCAAAGAGGTTACAAGTAGTTCCACATTATATGGGATATACAAAACAATATATACGAGAATAACTAGAGATTGTAACAGAATATGAATATATTCTATCACCCTCCCTCAGGTGAAGCATCGGGTGCCCTGATGGTTAAGCTGTCTCTAAACTCATTAAATAAAGACGTTGGAAGACCCTTGGTGAAAATGTCTGCATATTGAAGTGAAGATGGCACATGAATGACTTTAACTTCTCCTATAGCAACCTTTTCTCGAACAAAGTGTATGTCAAGTTCAATATGTTTGGTTCGTTGATGTTGAACTGGATTGGAAGCCAAATATACTGAACTTATGTTGTCACAGTAAACCACTGAAGCCTTTACTACAGGGAGATGAAGTTCGCGCAGCAAATTTCGTAACCAAGTTAGTTCAGCAACTGCATTTGCAACTCCTTTGTACTCAGCCTCTGAACTTGATCTTGAGACTGTAGGCTGGCGTTTTGCTGACCAAGAAACCAAGTTTTGACCAAGGAAGACACAATACCCGGAAGTAGAACGCCGAGTGTCCGGACATCCGCCCCAGTCCGCGTCGGAGTACGCAGTTAGATTATTCACATCCGAGTAAGCTGTAAGAGTGTTGATACTACCGCGATATAATTGTAGGCCATGAGCTTTTGTGCCTTGTAAGTATCTGATGATTCTCTTCAGAGCATTCATATGCGGTATTCTTGGATCATGCATATACAAGCATATTTGATGAACTGCATAAGCTATATCGGGACGAGTGAATGTTAAATACTGTAGAGCTCCAGCTAGACGTCGATAGGTAGTCGGATCAGGGACTGGTTCACCTTTTGTTGCAGAAAGTTTGGACTTGAGATCAACTGGTGTTGCGCATGGTTTACAGTCTACCATTCCAGCCCTTGTGATGATATCTTGAGCATAGACGTGCTGACTTAGGAACAACCCTTTCTTATTGAAATCAGCCTTAACACCAAGAAAGTGATGTAACTTGCCGAGGTCTGACATTGGGAACTCATTCTTTAGCTTCTCTATAATCTGTTGCAGGAGACTTTTAGAAGAAGCTGTTAGCATTATATCATCAACGTACAGCAAAATATAAGCTAAGTGATTCCCGTGGTTAAACACAAAAAGAGAATTGTCTGCTTTGCTCATCACAAACCCAAGCTGCAGCAAAAATTTTGTGAAACGAGAATTCCAAGCTCGCGGTGCTTGTTTTAGACCATAGATAGCTTTTTGCAATTTGCAAACATGATTTGGGTATTCTTTGCTGACGAATCCCGGAGGCTGGTGCATATATACTGTCTCATTTAAGTCGCCTTGGAGAAAGGCATTTTTCACATCAAGCTGATGCATAGGCCAGTTCATTGCAACACCAACATTAAGCACTGCTCTAATAGTGGCTGGTTTTACTACAGGACTGAACGTCTCTGTGTAATCAACACCTTCCTCCTGTGATTTACCATTTGCGACCAGTCTTGCTTTATGTCTTGTAAGCACACCATCTGCATCATATTTGTGCCTGAAAAGCCACATAGATCGAACAATATTGACCTTTGGAGGTCTAGGCACCAAATTCCAACTTTTAGTCTTAATCATAGCATCATACTCATCTGTCATTGCTGGATTCCAATTTGGATCCTGAAGAGCTTGATTATGGCCGGCTGGAAGAGGAGATTTGGTGGAATGAATCAGAGAAATAACCTTCTTTTGCTTAGTTATTCCTGATTTTGATCGAGTTGTCATATTGTGGTGAGGAAGAGAAGGCACATTTGATGTAGCGTTTTGGGGAGGAGGAGGCACAGATTCAGCTTGTGTTATCGGAGTTTGAAGAATAGCTTTGAACACTGGAGAAGGATCAGCAATAGTATCAAGAAAGGTATACGATGTAGATTGATTTAAAAGTGTTTCAGCTGCTGGGAATTTTTCTTCATCAAAATTCACATGACGTGAAATTATGATTTTGTTTGTTTTTAATCAAGACATCGATAACCTTTGTGATGAGTTGGATAGCCAAGAAACAGACATGGTGTTGTTCTTGGAGAAAGTTTGGAGAGATTGGAATTGTTCAAATTTGGAGAACAAAGACATCCGAAAACGCGAAGATGATCGTAATTTGGATTTTTGTTGAAGAGAAGGCTGTAAGGAATCTGGTTTTTAATGGCTGTGGAAGGGATTATGTTTAGGATATGAACAGCAGCATTAAGAGCCTCAACCCAATAGGAAGGAGCTAGACGTGCTTGAAAAAGAAGAGCACGGATAGCATTGTTAATGGTTCGTATCATCCTCTCAGATTTGCCATTTTGTTGAGAGGTATGAGGACATGGGAATCTAACTTGAATTCCATTCTTATCAAAATAATCATGAAAGTTCTTGTTGTTATATTCTCCACCATTATCACATTGAAAAGAGATTATTTGGCTTTGGAATTGAGTTTTTATTATATTTGTGAAGTGAAGAAATTTTGAATAAACATCACTCTTTCTACGTATTGGATACGCCCAAAGATAGTGAGTGTATTCATCTAGAAACAGAACATAATACTTAATTCCACTTATGCTTGGAACTGGAGAAGTCCACACATCAGAGTGAACGATTTCAAACGGTTTGGTAACACTGGACATGGAAGGAATAAACGGCAATTTTATTTGTTTCCCCAAATAACAAGGTTCACAGGAAGTAGGAAGCTTGTTTTTATTACAATGAACCAAAGAGTTTGATAAAATCGATTGAAGAGAAGTGTTATTGATGTGAGCTAATCTCTTGTGCCATAGCGATGGAGTAGAGGCCAAAAAGGGCTGTGGAAGATGAGCTGGTGTTGTTTTGTGAAGCTGGAAGGGAGTAAAGGTCAACTTGGCTATCACATCGGAGCAGAGTTGTCCGAGTTTGAAGGTCCTTCACAGAAAAACCAAAAGGATCAAACTCAACCGAGCACCAGTTATCTTTAGTAAATTGACGAACGGAGATTAAATTTTTGACAATTTTGGGTGTGACAAGGACATTACGAAGATTTAAGGGTCGGGAAAGGCTTTTTATGGAGGAAGAGCCAACACAAGTGACAGGAATTTTGGAACCATTACCCACTATGACAGATTGAGAGTTGTTATGACTAAGAATAGATTGGAGGTTACCTGGCGAAGATGACAAATGAGCTGTTGAACCGGAGTCCATGATCCAAGGTGCAACATTTGGATCAACCAGTGTTTCAGTCATGTGAGGTCCAGGTTGTATTTCCATGAGATGTGCTTGCTGAAACTGAGTCGCCGGAGAAGACGACGGCATATGTGGACGGTACATGCCTTGTTGTTGATAAGGCATCCAGTTGCCATAGTAATTGGGCCATGACGTAAACGGGCCTTGCCAGAATGGGGGAGCAGCCCAACTAGCATAGTTTGGGCGAACTTGCTGAGAGTTGTTACGACCACCACCTCTGTTTTTGTTGCGTTTGTTTCCTCCTCTGTTGTAGTGATTCTGGTGTTGTTGCGATGGACGAGGATTCGTTGATGTAGTTGCAACAGTGAGAGCTGTCGTGGACGAGGAGTGATCGGTGTGATTGGCAGTGTGGCGATTTGTTTTCTTGAGGCGACTCTCCTCCATTTCCAACATTGATTTAGCAATCTCAAAAGTTGGAAAAGGATCCTTGTGTTTGATTACATTGATTATGTAATCAAACTTCTCATTCAGACCATTGAGCAAATACATGACTAATGTCATGTCGTTCACCGGAGCATCGACATTGGTAAGTAGATCGGCGAGTGATTTGATTTTCTGACAGTACTCCTGGATTGTCCGATCACCAATCTCTTGAGTACGCAGTTCATTATCAAGCTGGATCGCTCTTGCTTCCTTGTTGTTCCGAAATTGATTCTCCACGCGAAGCCAAATGTCTCGTGAAGTGCCACCCGTTTGGAAAGATGATCGGAACAGAGGAGGAGCGAGTGTACCGTAAATCCAAAGCTTGACCAGACCATCACGTTTGTACCAAGCGGCATCGTTAGCATTCGCCGGAAGTAGGCTGCCGTCTAAGTGCCCAAGAACGTCAAACGTGAGACAATGAGTGAGAAACAATTCACGCCAAGCGTCGTAATTGTGATCATCTAGATCAAGGATGAGAGGGATGTGAGATTTAATGTTTGTAACACCAAATGCTCGTTCGTGTGCAGCAGGAGCAGCCATTTGAGAAGAGAAAAGAAGATGAAGTAGAAGAAGAAGAAGAAGAAGAAGAAGAAGAAGAAGAAGAAGAAGAGATGAAGCGGAAGCGAAAAAAAAAAAAAAAAAAATCAGAAGCGAGCTTGCTCTGATACCATGTTAGAGAAATGATTTTCCCTTGAATTATACATTGATGTACATGACTTTAAATAGCCAAAGAGGTTACAAGTAGTTCCACATTATATGGGATATACAAAACAATATATACGAGAATAACTAGAGATTGTAACAGAATATGAATATATTCTATCATAGAAGACTGCACTTATTGATCTGAACAGAGAATTCTATTCTTTGAGAAACAAAACACTCAGAAATATACCATTCTGCTCAATGTACTTGTATCACTATTCAAAGTCCTTTATTGTTTAGTTGTGACAAATTGACAAATGACAATTACCACCACCCAACCTCTTTAAAGTTTTAAAGCCCCCAAATTTGTTCAACTTGTATTTGTGACCCGATCCAAACAAGAGAAACCAAACCGGATCAAACTGAACCAAATCAAACCAAACAAATTACCGGTTTTTTTTTTATGTTTCGTCTTCTTCTTTAATACAAAAACAGGAACAGAGTTAATAGTTTTACAATCAGGAAAGAAAAATGCGTCTTTAACAGATTCAAATTTACTCAGGAAGAGGATCCCATAACAAGAGAGTAAAGAGAAGCAAATTAGGAACCAAAAGAGGAATATAAGGATTCACTTCGTTCACCAATCTCTTCCTCCTCAGCCTCTTCCTCGCATACTCTCTCCTCTCCTCTTTCCCCCATTTCCCTTCATCCACTCCCATCGCCATCACCGCCGCCGCCGGCTGGTAATACGGGCAATTCGACCTCCACGAGGTATCCGGAAGCCCGAATCTCGATACCCTTTTGAGGATTTGAGAAACCCACCATTGACGGAGATGCTTCTGCGAATAGATCGGAGGGTAATCCCACGAGGTGTAGTTTGGGACTAGGGATCCGATTAAGAACTGGGAGTGAAGTGATGGTTTTGTTGTTGGGTTTGTGAGTATGTGTGTCACCGCTTGTAGTCTCTGTTCCCATGTCGTCTCCTCCATTGTTTTGGATTCAGATTATTTTGAGTGGCAGAGCGTGAGAATTGGTGTTATCTGACTCTTTTCCGGTTGAAATGTGAATTGAACCGGAAATAACCGGATGATACAAACAAAAAGAACACTGAACCAGAAACAACGACACTTTTTAAAACTTGAACCTAATAAAAAAACCATTCTTGCAACAAGTTTTACAAGTCTCCCACATAAGTCATCATCAACTTGTGACATTCCAAAAGTTAGCAGCAAGTCGTCACCATAATAAATCAACTAAAAATAAGAACTTTACTTAAGCCACAAGCAAATAAACACACATAAATGATAAAACCAAAAGAACCCTAGAGAGCAATGTCTAGCAACATGTCTCTCATTGCGTAGATGTCCCTTCCTTGCGGACGATGATGATTGCTTTGCACAGCTGAAGCACCTTTCATCGGATTGCCTTCAACACACGGGACAACCGTCGGAGATACAACTGATGTGGTCTCTTCTGTTAACGGGAAACCAAACAGCCTGCACCTGCCTGAACCTCCGTGATGATCCTCCAGACGTCCGTTTGGACTGTTCGAGTTGGTCATCAGTACGGAAGAGGGTGATGACGACACAGATGGGGGGAGGATACGGGTGCTAAAGTTCTGGAACGGACCACACCATATGTTCCTCTGGCTCAACCCATGCTGCCGATGATGATCGGTTATTGAGTAAGCGGGAACTGTTTCTTGACCTTGCAAGACCTTATGGAACCCATAAGACTCACCAAATTCTGTTCCTTTGAAGCGGCCTCTCCTGGCACCAGCTCCATCATCAGAACAAGTGTTGATAAAACCCGGAAAAATTTCTTGACCTTGCAAGACCCTCTGGAATCTCAAAGATTCCTCAAAGTCTGTGGCACGAATCCCCTCTGAAACATAGCAGAAAACATTAGACTATAGGCGAGAGAAGATGGTTTAAGCGGTAGGATGTGTTTGTCAAGTAGATGAGTACCAGAGACAGGAATGTCAGGCTTTCCTGAGGAAAAGCCAATCCTGCTTCTTTTGGGACCAGTTGTTACGAAGCTGCCTGAATTGGAGATTGAACCAGATGGTTCGATCTCCCATGGTGAGACACGCTGTTGATGCCCATTTGCCTCAATGTCATCCCACCTTACCTGATTATGATGTCAAAACACAATTTCAGACTTTGAGAATGAGAACCGAGCTTATGTGGATATATATAAAATAGGTAAACTCTCAAACTAAGCTTAGTGACTTCTTAAAACATCATAAATCATAGCTTACCAAAAGGCATCTCCATTTAGAGCCAGGCCACCTGATAGGATCCAAATCGCTGATTCCAGTTATAATCCCAGGGGATCTGACCAAACAGGCTAAACAGTTTACAGAGATGGGCATATTAAAACTAAGGTGTGGCAATATTTTCTTAAAGCTTGAGCTATAACCTTCTTTCAGAGGCATCTTCAGACTCAACCCTTGCTTTGAATCTCATACCGATACAAAATGGATAGTCAACAATCTTCAAGAACTTAGGTGCAGGGATTATGAAATTTGACCAGCTTGCCCTGAAAATGTTTATAGATTGCAATTTCAGTAAACTAGTATTAACGCAAGCTTCATGGCTATAATTGTTTTAACAAACATAGTACAGTATGTAACTGAGACTCAGATAAGAATAAACTCTCTGGACACAATCACCAAGAACAATACACCACATTGTGGTCGGAGCTTACTTGGGGTTGTAGTAAATGCTGAAAACGCTATGGGTCGATATGGCATGAGCTACTTCAGCGAAATTGTTGTGGTTCATATTTTGATTATATTGAGCCGAGAGAGCAGCGGTGCCTTCGATTTGAGAAGCTCTTCTAACCCCCAGTCGCAGTTTGCCATCATCACCTCTATATCAGAGAAACACATATATCACAACTCCTCTTAACAGGAAATCAAAGAGGTCGTGCAGTGGGAAAACATAGAAGCTTCATTTTACTACCTAAGGAAAAGCACAGCATCTCCGGAGACAAGCTTCTTCTTGTTCACAAATGCACTCCACCCAGTTGTGAGCAAATGCCTCCTAGGTTGCCCTAAAATCACTCAAAACAATTCAAGATTTCCATCAACTATCTCAAGGCAAGATGAAGCAATATAAGGCAACAAACTTACCTCGATAAATATGGCGAAATCGCCACTCTAGGCCATGAAGATCCCTAGCAAGAAGCTCCTGAGAAGGCCGGGGCTGGCTATAGTCCTACATAACAATGTGATTATGCAGATAAATCTCTCACCATGAGCTAATAAAGAGCATCTAGAACACAATGTGCAATGTTAGTCTTACTACTGAATCTACAGAGAGTGGATAAATTACCAGAGGAGGGAAGCAATCCTCAGCAGCTCGGCGAGGAACAGAGAAGCCTCCATGGGTGCTTGTATCAGAAGCAGTGAGGGTTTTGCAAAACATGTGAGGAGTATTTGACCTCTTAAGAACTTCATAATCTTCCTCTCCAGCATCAATGTCAATAATTCCTTCACGCACCTTCCGCTCAATGTCCTGTATATCAATCAACTCAAAATCTAAACTCAAAATCTAAATCCAAAACACGAGAGCTAAAAAAAATGCTCACCTCGGACTCAGGAAGAAGAGAAACTTGAGCATAGACTTCATCGGTAGTCGTCTCTGCCTACGAAATCAAATTCCCCCACATTTTGTTTATTAATCCTCACAACAACAAAAGTGTAAACCTTTAAAGGAATTCGAAATGTACTGAAAGCAATTGCCATCAAAATGGAGAAAAAAGGAAACTTTGAACTCAAATTCATAGGCACGAAAGAAAAAGCAGCAGAGAATTTTTTGGGGATTTCAAGAGTTCATCACTTCATCATCAAAATGCCACAAGAAGATATGCAAATGGAGCAAAAAGGGAAACTTTTCCCCCAACAACATAAATTCGTTTGTCTCAAACAATTCAATAACCAAGAGGCACAAATCTCCATACTGTATCGAAAACTCCAACTTCAGATTCACCAAACATAATTTAAAAAACAAAATCAAAAAAACAAAACAAACCCCCATACCTCTGCTTCAAGAGCAGATAAGAGAACATAAATGAAGAAAACAAAAAAAAAATAGAAAGAGAGAGAGGATTATAAAGAAAGAGAGAGAGAGATAGATACGTGAAGCTTAACATCGAGAATACGACAGAACACGTGAGGAGGTAGCCCGTAAATCGCGGCGGAGAAATCGGGGGCTTGTTCCAAATGTCCCTGAGGGAAATACAACACAAGGCTTCCTCTTTTTGGGAGAGAGATGAGGGGTCCAGCACAAGCATGCCACAGCTCAAGACATACCCCTCCACCAGAGCTCGAAGACACCGCAGAAGCAGAAGCTGACGAAGACGAAGTAGGTGAGACAGACCCAGAAGCTGAAGACGGTGTTTGCGTTAGCGTTTCGTCTTCCTCCGTCTCCATCACGTTCAGATCGATTAAACCACCCATTATAGAGAGAGAGACAGAGATAAAGATAAGAGCTTTATTATAAAAAGAAAGAAAGAAAGAAAATTTCAGAGGAGTTTCTTCATGACTTTACCCTCTAAGCCAAAAGAAGAGAGACTAGCACAGTGATGAGTGAGTGAGTCTTTAAGCCGTGGAGAAAAAAGGGTTTTCAACCCAAGAAGAAAAGAAAAAAATAAAAGGTCAAAAAAAAGTTTTTAAATATTTTTAATGTTTATGACAATGTTAAAGAGAGAAGAGAGAAGAGAGAAGAGAGAGAGAGGATCAGAACAGAACAGTACTGAGTGCTCTCTGAACAGTGTGCTCTCTGCTACGTCTGGTGACTGATGTGTGTGGTGTGGCTTTTAGACCTTTTGTGCGTGGAGAGAGACATTAGATGGATTAGATTTTTTGCTTTTTTGCTTTCTTTTTTATTTATCTTTTACACAACAGTTTCTTTGCAATCTTGATCAATACTTGTTGGATATTTTTCTCTGAAATGATTATAGTTACAAGTAGATATTGGATATATCATTAGTATATACTATACTATATAATAAGATCTGCAAGAATAATGAATGAGCTTAATAAACTACGGGTTTTTTTTTCTCTTGTTTGTCGTCGTCTCTTTGAATCATTTGTTTTTTTTTTTTCTTTCTATTATGGTGTGGGAGAGATAAAAGAATGATTCAATACTGGTGGCATGCTTTTAGGGATTGATGCACATTAGTGAATGAATACTACAGTAGTTTATAATTATTTATCCATTATTATATAACTAGTATATGTAGTTCATGTGTTTTTGTGTCTGTGGTGTAGATTTGGATTACCGTTATTATATTCTACGTTCTCTTAAAAAAAATAGTAGTATATCTCTAGTGATTATAATATAAAGTACGATAGGTCGAATAAATTGATGGATACACAAGCTAAGTCGTTCAGAATTTTCTAAATAAAACATACCAAATGAGATTTATTGTGAAAAACAGGAAGAAGTATTGGTGGATTATAAGTACAGGGGGGTAGGGGTCCATAAACGGGGTAAGGGACATATTGAGAGAAACAAATGGTAAGAGATTATATATGTTTTTGGTAAGATGAGGTTTCGAAAATTCTTATGTTTATGTCTACCCAGATAAAGGAACTAACCTAATCATGGATATATACCCACATTTTTGAATTTATATTAATTAAGATCTTAATTACACATGCAAACATAAAATATACTTGTTTGCCTTTATAGTTTATTTGTATCATCCATGCACTCCTTTCAGTTTTATTAGAATAAGAAGACTATTAATGTTGTTGTAAGCTATAGTATTTATTAAATGGGAAACTAAATAAAGTAGAATTTGATGAAACACTTGTGATAAATCTACGAGTATGTAGTTTTAAGTAGGTGTAGAAAGAAGTTAAACATAACCAAACCACACACATGAAAAGTAAGTATAGCTAACAACATTGAGCGCAAGTACATCCGAACTATATTATAGTTTCTTTCTTTAATTGCCCATTGCGAGAGGATGACTCTCATCACAAAACCCACCACACCAAATCAACA